ATCAAGTTTTTTTTTCGGGTATTCCTGGAACGATGCAAACTTTCTCTGATGTCTTAGAATTTAAAATCCTGGATTTGCAGAAAATCCGTATACGTTTGTACGACAGTACACTTCGAAACTCTAGATATGTGAATGCCATACCAGATAGATGAATGAAATGAGATGTTTAAGATAAGTTTTCATAAACGATAAATTTGTCTTTACATAAATACAAATCATAGTTCTATCCTTCTCCGAACATTCCTTCGTAAAAAGCGGGTTTTATCGATTCACTAAATTATTCATTTCATCAGTCGAATAATTAGTCGACATTCAATTATGTGAGTGTATGGAATCACGCCAGGTACCCTTACGAGGGAAGTGTATCAACTTTGCCGTTCGTTATGCCTTTCTACAAAGGAGGGTGTCGCCTTTAAGACTTAGGTATGAACAGTGGTTGTATACCAGTTTTTCACAAATTTATCATGCACTATGGAAAAGCGTCGTTGATTTAATAGAGCAGTGCTCTCAGAAGAGTGCAACTATGCTTTCTTCATATGTGATACAATGTAATATAATATGACCCAATTAGAAACAAATAATACTAATCTAAGGTTTTTTTTCGGGATATTCCAGGAACAATGAGTATTATTGCAGGTTTCTCAGAATCTTGAGAAAATTTCATATTCGTTGACAGGACCATTCACTTTGGAACAGATAGATGAAGTGAATAATATATGGAGCAATCAACAGAACGTAATACTAATCAAGTTTTTTAGGATATTCCTGGAACGATGCAAACTATCAATTATGTCTCAGTTAGTATATGTGGTGAAAAAAAATCGAACAGATTTCATTTTCTGAGCTCAGTGAGATCATCCATCAAAGGATCCGTTTTTCAAATTGCATCTTCATATTTCTTGTTTCATCTCCGCGGATTATCATTCCTTGAATACCTAATCAAAGCTAATATCTGCACACTGGGTAGTTCAACGAAAACTTCACAGAGTGAATAAAGTGCAGGACAGGCTGAGATGGAATAGGAAGTTCAAACTTACTCTTCCATGCAGAGAAGAATGGAGAAGCAATAGTGGAGTTTCGGAGGAAGCTCAGTATGTTACACAGACGGATCCCGTCTGACTAACAAACAGACCTCGGGCGCAGGGATCTATCTAGAAGGGAGAAACATACGCTTTAGGAAAATACACCACAGTTTTCCAAGCTGAGGTGTTCGCCATCCTGGTCGTAGAAGAGAGGCAAGAGGTGAAAGACGGACCAGAGTAGAAAATTTATCTGTTAGGATAGTAAGGCAGCACTCAAGGCTATCTGTCATCCCAGATCAAGCTGGGCATTGGTACAGGAATGTGGAAATGCCCTTGAGATATTAGCCGAATCAAAGTAAGTTGAACTGGTATGGGTCCCGAATCACGCAGTGAGGTGCCCGGAAACGAAACAGCAGACAAACTTGCTAGGGCCGGATCCGCGGAGCCGTTTCTGGGACCGCAGCCTGTACTAGGTAAAGCAAGAAGGCAAACTACGTCAACTCTTGGTGAATGGGCAGAAAAGTCGCAAGGAGAATACTGGAGGAATATCACAGGTTGCAGGCAGGCCAAGGAATTCGCGGCCGGTCCGAGCAAATCATGGAAGGACTGGCTGCTTGGCAGGGACCGCCAAGTACTCCGCCTCCTCATAGGAGTTCTCACAGGACACAACAGGCTAGGCAGACACCTAACACTTATGGGAATAGAGGACAACTCCACTTGCCGCAGATGTGGGGAAGACGAAGAAACGTCACTTCATTTTCTCGGCGAGTGCGAGGCGTACGGAAGGCTGAGATTCGAAATCTTTGGAGTCGACAAACTCCAACAGGAGGGGTTGATCATATTAGAGTGGACGGACATACTGGTCTTTATCAGAAGATCAGGGAGATTCGTAAAGGAAATCTAGGAGAAGAAAGCGTAGATATATGTGGAGAGCAGGGGTTAGCAAAAAGGACCCATCGGGGCCTGCTTGCTCGGCAACAGCCTCCTCACCTATTACTACTACTACTACTTACACCCAGATTTTAATTCGAGGGGAAATGACTTGTCTACTTTATCCATCCCCGTGACTTCAACCCCTTACCAGAGGGAAGCACATATACCGCCGTAATTTGAATAAGTACCTCATCGACTACTATCCGGCCTATTATTTCGCGTAAAAATGTTCATCGAGAACGAAATGAGAGATTAAATAGTGGATGTCGCATTTACCTCGAAAATATCATTCTTATTAGAGTAGGATTCGAAAAGTAATTTATTTATTTATTTGTTATTTTTCGTCTCAGAAAAGTTCGATTTACCTCAGTTAATCGTGAATATTCAACAACGTTTCACCGAATCAAATCTATTCTCTAATGGAAGTGAATTTGTCCCAAGTAACCCCATTCAATGGTATTTCATCATCTCTCATTTCGTTATCGATGAAAATTTCACGTGAAATTGGACTCGATGAAATTTTCAAAATGGGAATCACAACTCCCCTCATTGATATTCAATATCCAGGGGTTGTGCTTTTCCCTGGTAGGGGGTTGAAGTTACAGGGATGAAGAAAGCAGACAAGTCGTTTGCCCTTTAATCAAAAATCATCGGGTCCGAGCGTGTTTCGACAATTTAATATCCGATTATAAAAATACACTTCTCAATACAGAAAATAGTAGCTCCTAATTCATATCGATCAGATGTATCATTTTCGAGTGAAATCGATTTAAAAAATATTAGATATCGCATTTTATAAGTAGGTACATAACGTTGCCAATTTTCGAATCATAGTCGTGTGGCTTTACAAAATCAGCTATGTTAGAAAGTGCGTGTAAAATAGGAGAATAATGATGAAAAACTATTTCAATTTTTGTGCTTTTTTTAATATCCAATACGATTCATTGCAATGTTCTTTATAATATATGTGAGATGTAACAATATTCTTAGATCTATTTTTCTCGAAAATGATAAATCCGAACGATATGGAACAATAGCACCTTTTTTCTGTAAAGACCAGTTGATTTTCCGAGGGATTTTCACGAAGGGTAAATCGCGATGGAGTTCTGGTGTACAAACAACTGGAATTCCTTGGAATTCCCTGGAATTCATTGAAATTCCTTGGAATTCTTTCGATTTCCTTGGAATTCCTTGATGGATTTCCTTGGAATTTCTTGGATTTCCTTGGAATTCCTTGGATTTAATTGGGATTCATTGGATTTCCTTGGAATTATCTGGAATTCCTTGGATTTCCTTGGAATTCTTTGGATTTCCTTGGAATTCTTTGGATTTCCTTGGAATTCTTTGGATTTCTTTGGAATTCTTTGAGTGAAGTGCAGTATAATTCTGGTCTACAAACAACTGGAATTCTGGTGTTCAAACAACTGGAATTCCTTGGATTTCCTTGAAACTTCTTGGATTTACTTGGAATTCCTTGGATTTCCTTGAAATTCCTTGTGTGAAGTATAAGTCTGGTGTACAAACAACTAGAATTCCTTGGAATTCCTTGGAATTCCTTGTGAAATTGATGTTTGGTGTACACAATTTTGACCGCCGTTTACCCTTCGAGTTTACCAATACATGTTGCAACATAATATAATGTATCTTTGTATCTTGAATTTGTTGTTGACAATGTTTATTCTCTGAAATGTTCCCAAACTATAAAGCACAACTGTGCTATGAACTAACTTTCTGAAATTATGACTCTTTTTCTGTGAGTAGTTCTGCCTGAAATTTTGGAGTTATCTGAATTGAGTACTTCTGTATCCAGTGATTGGATCAGAATTTCACAAATGAATCTCTAATAACCATTAGCTGTTTTTGACATATAAAAAATCAATGAATGCTGTGGAAATTTAAATTATTTTTTCCAAATATATGGCACCATGGTCTTATTGATTTTTGATTCTCCTGTTGAAAATAATTATTTTGAAATCAAGTTGTGGATTTTATAAGGGTGCCTCAGTCTCAAGTAGCTCTCACTGTATATTATTAATGTTTTGTATATCAGAGTACTAGATTTCTTCATTAATATAAAAAAAAACTATTTAAAAAGGAATAATTTTCAGCACCTTGTATCTTCATTTCAATACTTATACATTTTCCATTTTTTAAATACCTCACTTTGTGCAGCCTATGTATGTAAAATGATAACAATAGAAACATTTCTCCAGTAATGTTAAAATTTTAACCAATTTGATTTCCATGCATGACTATCACATGTCATTTGTTAAAAATTCCATATTCAGCAGCAAGAAAGTGTGGTATGTATTGAGGTATAATATATGCTTTTATCAGTTTATGGTCTCAATTTACCATTACGTGACATCTGTTATCATGGGACTGATAAAAATGATGGTATTTCAAAGAGTCATTAAGTAGGTACTGTCTGTCAATTTTTCCTTATGACTTCAGAATGTTAATTAAGTAGCAATCCTTTATTATTCAATCAATTTTAATGATTGAAAAAAATGAATAATAGTGGAGATTGGGGTGGATAAAGGTATACCATTTTTACCTCAATTTTTTTGAAATGAAAATTTTTCAGAGAGCAGTATCTTGATTGGTGTATAATCAATCATAAACCATTCTTCAATCTTCAAATGCATGTAACAGCTCAGACTGAAAACTAGTACATTGTTGAAGATAAATCATTGAATTGCAGTGTTTACTAGTGTTTGTTGCTAAAGGAAAGAAAGCAAACTTAATTAGAAAATCACACATTCATGCAAGAAATTCAGGTCACAGCAGAATCTCTGAAATATTGATTTATTTTTAATACATTTTGGTGAAATCCACTTTCATATTGAGATAAGTAGCATTTTATCATATTTTAGTTGATGCAGCACTACTTTACATCCAACTAAAGACTAACCATGATTCATGAATTAGAAAGTTGATTGTTATTTTGAATTGACCAAGAGCCTTCCTTGACTTCTTATTCTTAGTATGCATTCATGCAGCATATTTCCACCCTTCTCATAATAGGTATGTATACATACTTACTTTAAAAATGCAGCTTCCAGGTCCCAGTCAGAGAGTATAGGCATATAAGTCTCACATCCATTGACATCATACAATCTAAAGGATATTGTGAAGTCCCCTTTCAAGTCAAAGGCTTTGGCAAGAATGCTTTGAAGCACTTCGAAAGATGTTATTTGGGGATCTACACTGAACTTCCTGAGTTCTGGTGGTTGGTTAATATCACATTTCTGTGAAAATTCTTGTCAGTACAGGAAGAAAGGCACTATTTATGCATTCAATTACTTACTTTTACTTTCACCCTTACAGCTTCACGAGTGTACCCAAAAACAACACCAGACATAATGAATATTTCAAACAACATTAAATGGAGAGATTAATTTCATAAACATTATCTGAATGAACTAAATATTGGAATGTGATATTTCCATTTGAGTATGGCTTCAGCTTCTTGATTGTGTGATACATTATTGAAAACACTGCCTATTATTTGGGATAAAAATCATTTCACACTGGATAACATCAAGAAAAACACATAATTTACGAGTTCTATTTCTGCTGCTCACAATCAGTACTCACTGCTTTGCTCACTGTCAGCTCACTGTCACTGCTCAACTGCTCAGTGCTGCCACACAGTGTTGCCGTTCCAGAATTTTAATTTGTACTAGAATTAATTCCGAAATTGTACTAAATTCAAGTATATTGTACTAAATTGAGAAATTAACACTTCAAATTTCACGATTCACACTTTTGATGAAAAACTCTATATTGATTTATAAAAATTTGGAATAATATACAGCACATTAAAACGCCCCTGAAAACCAACGTAGGTCATGAAACAATTATATATACTTGGTAACAATGTCGTGCCAAAACTGCACATCGAAAGAAACTAGTAACTTTTGAAATGGGCGAACCGCGTTATCAATTTGAGTTGGTAAAACTGTACACCGATGCGATTTGTTGTGATCAGCTGATCTCCGCGAATTATTCATTACTGACAATTTGTACTTTCAAGCAATTGTTTGTGATTTATTTGTGGATCATTGGTGAAATTTCATTTATTCATCGTGATAACGATGGCCCATTACTTCCACTTACTGCCGTGGGAGATGTAAGTTGAATGATGGTATCAATAATGATATTTTGTGTTGTCGGAATGATCCAAATATGATTTGTCTGAACTACAGAGAATAGCTGCTGCATTAAAAATAAGTATCGCTACTGTATGGAGAATATCTACCAAACAGGAACATATGGTAATGATTTGGCTGGCCCTAAAAAGAATAGAGGAAGAGAAACAGCCATTTTAGACCTTATCATTAAATTTCATATTCAGTATATTGTTTAGGTTCCTGGTTCGTTAAATACAAATATTGAAGTTCATTTATCAACTTCAAGTGTTGATTTTGAAGCATAAATAGACAGCTTTTGACTTGGTTGCAAAAAACATTAAAACGTCCGACGATTGTAATACTAGACATATCCATATTCGGGCGGTTGGTCATTCAGTCCTTTCCTTTCAACTGGCAACACTGTATGTGTTGACATATTGACGTCACTATCAACTTAGCGTGAAAGCCCTTTAGCAGTACTCCACAAACTCCACGGTTATTATTATTATTATTATTATTATTATTATTATTATGTGAATATTTTCGAAATAGGTGGAGCTATAGGTCCTTTTTTTCTCAACTTTCTTTATGCAAATTTCGGCAGTTTGACCAGGAAACATGAAAATCTCAACATTTTTACTCAGGACTGGTACTCTTGTTTAGTTCTGGTCCCACTCACCATTATCCAGATAAATCGATTTTGAAAGCCTGAGGCATAATAAAAATAGTACTCTGTCCTTCAAAGGATACCGAATCTATAAAAAAAGTATAGTTTGATGGAAAATATCCCTTCTTTTAACATTTACTTTGCATGTTTCCTATAAAATATGGGGGTTGCAAAAAAAATAATTTATTGAAAAATGATATGGTAGGTACCCTATTGAGAAAAATATCGTTAATTTGATAGACAGTATTAATCATTTCTAAACTTTCTGAAGTTTATCCTACCATCAAGAATAATAATCAAAATCATAGAACTTTAACCTATTCCGGATCATCAACTGAAAAATTACCTTCATTTCTACATATAAACAGGACCTAAAAGTAGCATATAGAACAAATAACACGTTGGGAAGGTTTATCAAAAATACCGGGAGACCAGACCAGACCATTTCAAATGCTCATATCTCTGAAACCAGTCAAGTTATTGTTGTGCGGTTTGGACTAGTCTATTTTGATGTTTTTCAAGTTTTTTTTGACGTGTTCATCTTCTCACTTGAACTTCCGGTTCTACCGGAAAAAAACAAGCAATAATCCAGGTATAGGGCAACTTTTTTATCTCAATGAATCACCCTGTATATTTTTGCACATTCAGAAAGACTGGTATTTTCTCTATCTAACAATGTATTACAAGTTATGTTCTCCTAGAAAACTATTAGAGTTATAACTCTTTGAAACAACTACTGCTTGTGGAATGGTTTAATGAGATTATGCAATGTTATCAAAGTTGCCCTATACCTGAATAATGGCATGTTTGTTTCCGGTAGAACCGGATAAGTTCAGGTGAGAAGGTGAACCAGTCAAAAAACTTGAAGAATATCAAAATAGAGAAGTCCAAACCGCACAACGGAAATTATAGTTTCGGAGATATGAGCAGTTCAAATGGGTCAGAATATAACTGGTCAAGTGGTCACCCGGTATTAAATACAAAACTTCTAAATTCGCAAAGGCAGGGGTATAAAACTCATAACTCTGGATCTTGTCCAAAGGTATATATCGGTCAGACAGGTCGTACGTTTAATCAGCGCATTCATGAACATAAGATGAATTTTTTGAAAAAGAAAACCAATTCTACATACGCCAACCATATATTAGAAGAAAACCATAGTTTTGATAATTTCGAAATTTTACACGTAGAAAATAAAAGAATGAAAATCATTTTGAATCATTAGAAATCAACAGTTAGATGTCAATAGTTCACCACTGTTGAATTTGTTTTCTTAGTAGGTAATAATATATAGTTGCCCTCAAGTTAATCCGGTACACCGTATTTTAATGTGGATATTGTGCCTAAATTCAGAAAATGAAGGTTTATCGCACCTGTCCACAGGTAAACTAGTCCTTCAAGTTGGGAGAGTAGGAGATATGAGTTAAGCAAGGCAAGGTTGGTTTAGTCCTTTGTACCAGTATATCACATGACGAATTTACTGTGTTAGCTAAACATGTGTTTAAGAATTTTGTGGAAATCTTATCGTTTGTGAAGTTTTACATTTGCTATGGATCATCAAGTAACGGCCGAGTCAATTCAGAATTTATTCCAGTCAAAATCTCCACCGTATATAAATAAAGGCAGCATAGCAACCAATTTGTTTTGTATTTGATGTAGGTAATTTCCATACCTCTCAGAATGAAACTATAATTCAATAATTATTATTGTGTTTATTGTAGAAAGTAACTTATGAATCTTTAGTTTGAAAAAATATTTGGACGAAAAATACATATAGTATAAATAGTACTTAAGCTAGTTGAGTTGTCAGGTACGGAATGCATCTTTCTGCACTTACACTCTCGCAGTCATTCATCTCTCAATCAACATTTCCAAAGGAACAATCTTAAAATCTAGTTTAAATAATTATTACTAACTACGTTTATTATTAATTTAAATTGCCTATTTTAGAATGCACTGGTTGGATTAATTTCACTAAGATAATTTATGCACTTATATTTGGCAATAGAAACAAATATTCCCCAATGTATACAGGGTCGTGTTTTCACAGGTTAGGCATTTTTACTTCTTTAAGAAGATGTATATAGCCTCATTGAAATATACAGATTCACCAAATACCACCTCAACAAAAGTTGCATGATCACGAAGATATCATCAATTAAAACATCACTCGTTTTTCAAAAGAATTTCGTTACGGTCCTGGCCGCAAAAATCTCTGTTCGGTAGAATTTTGTTTGTCTACCGCTAGTCATCGGATCATCTTTCTCAATTGTTTTTTCTGTGCATTGTCAAACAATAGCACGTATATGAAAATAATGAACATGTTTACATGCTTTCGATTTATGGCAAGTGTCGCCAAAGTGCAGCAGCAACATTTCGTTTATAAACGGCAGTATGTCCGTTAAGAAACCATATAAAACTGCGAATGTTGTTTGGTGCCAAGGTTTCTGTGGCACAGGGTGTTTGGAGGAGCAAACAGGAAGACATGTTTGAAGGCTACACCACCCGATGACCTGTTGAATATACAGGACCGTAATAGGGTCAATTCTATCGGTTAGTTTTTCAACTTCGTTATTTTGCAACTTTCATGTGGGCAATTTTTTGTGATTTTGTTCATTTCGATGAGATCTACAACCTGTTTGAAAAATGGCCTACCTTTAAGAATACCCTTTATAACGTTCAGATGAAATCAGTGAGAATTGTTTTCAATAATCATCAATAATTAAAATTCAAACTATAGAAATTCAACATGGATTCCATAATAGCATATTATCAAATTGAAACAAGTTTTATATCTCATCATTTCCCATTGGATGAGAAATAATCAGATGTTAAAAAAAATTGTAAAATAGTAGAATATGATGTGTTTAACTATTGCATCAAAATAAGTACATATTATTCACTAAGATTATTCAAAAAACAACCAGTCCGAACATCAAGTCTTGTGATATTGCTCAAGCAAAGTGGATTATCTTATACAAACAATTAATTGAACGTTTCAAGTTTCGACAAACTTTTGCTAAGGGTTGCCCATATAAATGAAAAAAACAAACATAATAACTAAGTGTAGGTATATGATAATCAAATTTACATCGAATTAAAACTAGAATTATCTACATCAGTACAAAAACACCTAAAAACTATGCTAAAATGTACAAAGTCTTAAATAAGTTTTGAATTATCCATTATTGTTTTGATAAATATTTAAGGAACTTAGTAGTCATGGTGTCTATGTGAGATTGAAATTTTTGGTAAAGGGTGTTTGGTTGGATGGACAGATATTTTGTCCTCTTCGTTAAAATCTCATATTTAACTCAAATAAAATTTGAAAACAATGATTGAAGATGATATGTAGATTCTATTCACTGTGTGACATTATGAATTATCAGTATACAATAATAATCATGATAGTAAAGTACCGCCCTGATAAGGTAGAACATCAGCTGTAGCAATTCATTCATGGAATAACTTCATCTACCTACTCTAGAAATTTCAAGAGTAGAGGGTACCTATTCTATGAAGCTGGCTATCTATCTGATGAAATACATTTTCAGGGGGTTGCATGATCATATAACTGGTATAATGCATGAGACCATACAATTTTCTCTGAATTCTAACCATAAAATGATCAAATGAGATGCCATTTGAATATTCAAACCATGCGCCCTAAACCAACAGAGTGATTCATAAAAAAGTTTGTTTCAGTGTGTGTATAGATTGTTAAGGCTCAGGGTCAAAAACTAAGAACACTGAAAGATTTCTACCTGAGAATCATGAACATCAACGTTGTCAAACAGAGCAATAAAAGTGTTATGACGAGAGTTTCTGATGTAAAATGCGATAGCACTAAATAAAACAGCTTACATGTATGATGATGCAATTTCTCTTGTATTTTGGAAGATGACAATGAGCATTCTCCCTTTAAATCGATTCATGAAATTCCTCTACAACTAAATTACTATTTTTTGACATGCAAACTATTGGATTAGTTATATAGATGGCGCTACTTGTAAAGTTGGGTACAAAAGGGGTGGGAACATATTTTTTACCTAATAAAATTCACTAGGTTAATATAAATATCAATTTTGTTAAAAAACGATGGTGAATAAAAATGTGTGAGACTCATACACAGCATATTTATTCATTAACTTCTATGTCAGTTTTCATCTCAGTATTCTTGCAAAATGGTATGTATGTTAGTCGGTATATAAGGCTTAATATTTCAAAGAACTATTTATTTAAAATATTTTGTATGGATATTATTATAAATTATTATTATTATTATTATTATATCAACATGCAGAAAAATACACCGTTGATAATAATATCACAGCTATGTAGAATCGTCTGATTCAACTAAATATTCCTAAGTGAATCTAGGGCATAACAGGATAAACATGAAAGGATACAACTGATATTTTTGAGAATTGAAATTTAGTAGAAGAACATACATATTGTGGTTAAGAGTCATATATCGTGTTTCGTCATATGTTGTTTAGGAAATTCATATTTCAAAAGTGATGAAGATGAAATTAATATCCCATTTAGGCTGTGTCAAATCATTCGTACGACCACAGTGGTGATACCAGAATGGTCAATGGCTGACTCGACTTCCATTAGAAGTTGATGTGGTAACTTTGTAGGCAGGTTTGAAACCTGGCCGATATTACCAAACAGCTCGCTGGGCAGACTGATGGTCCGACTTCATACTGAACTTATGTGCCAGGTCAAACCACATACTTGACACAGCCTTAGTAAGTACCTACTTACCCACTGTGAATATGTTTTTGTTTTCAAAGCTCACTAATTTTCAATTCTCAATAATATGAGTTATATTTGGTCCTCTCATGGGTGTAAAATTGTCTAAACTTCAGACTCTAAAGCATTGAATAATTAAAAATTCCACTGTCATTCAACAGAGGAATACCAGATATGTATTTGTGATGTCTCTTATCTGAGTTTAGGTAGCAAAAACACGTTCGTAACGGATTTTAAATGCGAGGTTTGCGCTAAAATATATTATCAGTACGAATATTTATGTGATGCAATAACCTGAGTAACTGGAATATAGGTTTGCAGCAATGGCGGAGCTAAAAAAGGAGAACAGAAAAACTCGCCCTTCCTATTTCTTCTAGACTATTGAAAAAAAATCTAATGATAGTAATTCTTGTTTTTCTTTGGTATTTCAATTCTTCAACCCTATATAATAAAGGACTTGGAAGGTATAAATGAACAATTTACAATATTCAATATACTGATTATTGAACTGTTCTAAAATGTTTCCCTTTTGGCTTTCGAAACAATGTTTTTGACTATACAGGGTGTATCTAAATAACACCAACAAAATTCTAGCGGTGATTCCTTGTAAACATGTGTCCTAACTTTCTCCGTTACTGAGAAACAGGATGTTGAAGTTGGAAGCATTAATTGTTTTTATTTGTAACCCCCCTGTATAATAAGCCTTCATGATGCCAAAATTCAGTAAGGTTGGAAACCGAGAAAGCCCCAAAATTTCAAAATGATTCTAATTGGGGTTGAGTAATCTCAATGGAAGTCTACCTACATTGAAATTTGGAGTTAAATCGAATTTCTATTCTTTCCTCAAAAATTAAGCTAGATACAAAAATTACACAGAGGATAAAAAAGAAATTGTAATTTCAATAGTTCAATCGAATAAAAATATGAATCTCAGAAAAACCATAATTATCGATAAATTTACCCACTGTGACGCCACTGGAAATATTATTCCAAATCTAATTGCACCAGAAGAAGCTCCATATCAATATTAACAAAACCACAACGTTTTATTGAAATTGATGGAGACAATTATTGAGTAATGAATAAAAAACGATTTTCCATGGAAATATTAATACCCTGTATCTCACAAGGAATCACCCCTTGAATTTTTTCGGTATTTAGATTAACCCTGTATATCGTCAGATATGCTGTCATGAAATGACATATTCTTTACCAATGACACATTATTCCAAGTTCCGGTTGATCCGGAAATAATACAAACTTTTCATTTCCAAATAGGACGACACGTACCCATTTTTTTACGCAATTAGGTGTGTCAAATGAAGAGTTGGGTAGATCAAGGAGCTATGTTACAATGAAGGTGGATATAATATATGTTGCAATCACAGACAGTGTTTTGTTTCTCCCGAAACGCTTGACCGCAGATTCCGCAATAATGGCATATTAGTTCTCAGTTGTCCGCGAGATGGCGACACTTTTTAGAGATTTCTTTCATGAGAGAAAACAGAAAATTGCGCTTACACACCGCTTGCACCAGAAATAAGAATATCATAACATTCATAACATAACCTCAAATTAAACGAGATCAAATTTGAAAGCACGAAACTGTAATTTTGGGGAATTTTAATTGTCATCAGTTCTACCAACCTTGAATTTTGGTTAAAATTTCGCCATCTAACGGGTAAAATACGACCTTCATTCCGCGATATTGAATAAAATTCTTCTGTCAAGTAGACTGTAGGTCAAGAACTTTGACTGAAAAACAGTAGATGGGATTTGATAAGAGTTTCTACACCATATTCTGTCCATCCTGGTAACAATATTTGAAAACGACAAAAAAAATGGTTCAACTCATCAAAAAAGAAATCATTCTTACTTTTTTCTTGTACCAGATGAACAACTGAGAACGGCTGTCGGTCATATCTCAGCAACGAATAATGATACAAGTTTGAGATAGAATGAATCTAATGGTGTGCATATTGTTGAACGATGTAATAGAGAAACTAAATCTCAAGAGACCTACGAAAACCGCAACATGATAGCTTTTCGCCAAGGGAAAATATTGACTATCAAAGTTGGAAGAATGATAGATATGACCGCCTTCTTAGTTGTTCACCCGGTACAATATTCTCTACAAGGTCATTCCGTGTATTCAAACAGATTTTACAGGGTTCATCATTGGATATAGAAAAAAACTTCATATACAAAAGTTGTATGGTTCGTTCTGAACCTTCAGAAAATTGTACGAGGTGAAACAAATGAATATCGCTGATGTAAGAAATGGGTACGAACTTCAGAATCAAAATTGCAACTTGAAACAGGAAATTTTCATGGTTGCTATCTTGATTATACGAAATATTGACCACGGTGTTCATGAATATACAAAGTGTTATACGGGCCTTAGTTATTGTTCAATATAATTATTATGTTACCTATGGGATTGATACGGTTCATTTATTCCAATATTTACATCCATGGGGAAGTCGAATAAGAAAAAAACTGTAGTTATCTCCACTCATCTGGGATTCTGATGAAAATGATTATTCACATTGGATTATGTTCTGTCACTGTAAAACTCAAAAAATTGAGACCCAAAACTCCTTATTAAATGTGCATTCCATAGTGCTACCCACCAAGAAGATCTTTCTGGGACACCCGGTATATCCATAGTTCAAATTTTTGTCGTTTTCTCTTGATTTTCAACTAGTAACTTACTTTAACAACTACAAAATTATGTACCTAGACAGTTTCATTGTGCATTTTTTTGTAAATCCACCAAAACAGCAAATTATTTTTTACTAGAATCTTCATTACAGAAAAAATATATAAAACATCAATCTCTAAACATTTATAAGGCATTTGACTTTAAATTTGTGACTGCGACGTATATTTCATGAATCGTTTTTTTTTTCAAAATTCTGTGCCCCTCTTGAATCAAAATTTTACCCACTCATCTGGCACCTACGCAATTTACATCGAAACTCTTGTTTGTAATTCATCATTACAGAAGCTGTCTGATAAAATGAATCACTCGAATACAGGGCGTTTCTGTATCCAAGTGACAAAAGGGTAGGAAAGATTCCTTCCCTGAAAAATTCCGAAAATGGCTAATTTCCAGGATTCATGTTTTTGAAGTTTTTTGTTCTTGGTTCTTGTTTTTTTGACAGTCTTACTTTTTCGTCTCTGTTCTTCCAGAAAACAAAGTGAAATAGGAAACAATGATGGGATGAAATACTGAGGAGTGTTATTTTCCGTGCAGAAAACTACCCCTGGAATTACTGAATAAACTCTGATAGGTCCATGAAGTTTTCAGAAAACTGTAGAAAATGCATTCAAATCGGCAATTGTTGTTTAAATATTAAATTAGAATCCGATTTATTAGATTTTGAATTTTTCAATAATGAATTTTGTTTCTTGTTTTTATTGAAGGAATCTGCCACAGACTTCCGTTACTTGGAATGCAGCAACACCCTGTGGAAGTCTCTCAATCAGAGCTGACAGTTGATAAGATAGGTAGGTATTCACTGAGAGCCCATTTCCGTTACATCTAAGCAGATGCATTATTTTACAATCATTAGGTATTGCGTTTGTTGGATTAAAATGGAAAAGTAATACTATTATTGTGATGCACTGTAAAAAAAAGTCTCATTTCTCGCTGAAAATCGTTGACTAGAAAAAAAATAAAATTATGGAAAGGACTGTAAAACATCCATATCAAAAATAGTTATATGCGACAGTAATTATTGGTACTATTCAACAATTTTGTTTCCACTATGGTGACGATTCTATTTGAGTCGGATTGAAGAAACGAACAGTTCTGGAAGGAAAATACAATAACAAGTCTTCATATTGAATAAACAGATAATCTCATATGAACACGTCTTGTGGTATGTATTAATTTCAAAAAATAATAATCAAGTACACTTTAGAAGTCATCGATGATGATTGGCAAATCGTTCTGTGGACTGAAATTCTTTGTAAAGAAAAGTCCCGTGAAAAAATGCGTTTTCCTTCCGAACTAACGCCCGATTATCTAGTTCTTAAAATTAGTTAATATTTACAGCTCTTAGATCCGAATATTCGTAAAAAATCCTATTCCACAAGTCCATTGTACCATCCTCGACAACGATTCACACGTTCGTATTATCCTGCCTGATGTCGGAGACGTTTTGGTTCAGATACTCGTCGTCATCCTCAGACTCCCTTCTGCTGCTACCGACCACCAGCCGACTCAGCAAATTCGAACTGCTCGACTTGCCTTGACCTGGAACGATAACAGAAATTGTGAGATTTGCACGAAATTCTCAATAGTACAACATACTGTAGAAGCAATATTTTGGAAGTTCAATTACTCAAATAGCTTTGTTTTCGTGAAATCTGATTGTAGGAGTGAGTCTACTCAGCTGTCTAATGAAAGTTATTCAGAAGAAAAAACAGTTTTTGAGAACTTCACATCTTCATGTTGGTGCATCTGTGGTACGTAAATGCTGATATGTCAATACTTTCAATTCAACATAGTGTCAGCAGGGTCACGAGTAAACAATGGTATATCAATGAATCACTAAATCAGTAAGTTCGAATCACATTCGAACTTCGAATAACAATCAAGCAACTCTCGTCTCTCATGAGAAACGTGCAAATCTATAATGAACTGGATGTGAGGGTTCTAAAGTTATCTGGTCTGGTGCTACTCGACTCCGCCTAATGGTAATCAACATAAAATTGTTATTAGAGTTTTATATTTATTGTTGTTCATTTATATTTCCCCACTACCCATAATGTTATAATAAATATCTTGATGTTCAAATTGTCTTGCCAAACTATCTGTGTCTAATTATGTGAATAAAGGTACCTATGTTATTTGGATATTGTTGTATTCCGACATTTGTTATATGTATCTCTATCATTGGAAACTTTGACCAGTTTTTAGCCGAGGTAAGCCGTGTATAAGCCTTAAAAATATTTATTGAATGATTTCTTTTTCCTACTGCTATTTTTTGACTTAAGGAAAATGCTTATTATCACAGAGGTATGTTAGTGTATTTATTTATGATATCGACTGTGATTTTTCGTTTCCACACATATATGGTTTCATCCACTTGACACTTCCTTGAGCTATTTTTGATGTCAGGAGAAAGTTGAAACTCCATTGTTTTAATCTTACGAAGTCATAAGTCTGCATCGATTTTTAGCACTCAAATTAAATATATTTCTTCTTCCTACTGCAGCGATCAAACTTCTTCATCAAAGAATGATAAATAATAGTGTTGTCCATGAATAAAATAATCTTAAACATGTAACAAAAATGTGAGAGTGATACAATTGGCGACGATATGATATATTTCAGAATGAAAGCCAGATGCATTAACATGATTTTCAACAAATCAACAACAGGAAATCACAAAAATTATTTATTTTTCTGAATCAGATTTCATCAAAATAAAGCTATTTGAGTAATAATGTAAAGAAGTACAAATGCCTATGAATCAACATCACTCAGACTCTTGTTCATTTCAAGATCTTGTATCATAAATTAACTTTTCCAAATTGAAACATCAATCAATCAATCAATAATTTATTGTTTCTTGAACTTACAGTTTCATAACAAGGGTTTAGTTATATTTGCAAGATAAGTGGTAATTAAATTAAAAGTTTATAGAATTGGTAGTACAATTGTTGTCAGTAACACCAAAGTTTGATACATCAGTGAGTACATACAATAGAGTGTTAAAATGTATTGCTTACAAACTATATCCGGCAATTGAAACATCCAGTACATTGTGGTTTCGATCAGGTCTGCGGAGTTCATAGATGTCAGTTCCTTTTAAATTTGCAATAAAACCGCTTACCGTGCGATAATACCCAGGTAAGCAATATCGAAAGGTAACGGCCATTCCCATTGGAGAAAAATGCGAACCTAGCTTCAATTCTGAATATAAATAGTACCTGAGTCGATAAGGCATAATTACTATCAATACCAATCATTAGTAATAATCAATTGAAAATGTTCGCTATCTCCCCGACTCCAATCCTGCTGGTCAACCCCATGCTTGACGTTGTAATGTAAGTACTGTTTTTTTCAAGTGTTGTTGTGCGTTGTGTTTCATTAGGCAAGCCATTATGTTCTTATTTCTTTGCTAACCTGCCATGTGGCAAGCACTTGGCCACGATTCTCCAAATAATAATTAATAATTAAGGAGCTTTATTGGAGACCCAAAAAGCCACCGACCGAGGTCCTTAAGTCTGTGTTACACAGTGATTATACATTGAGTTTAAATTAATCATTATTGTATGTACAAGATATATGGAATTCGCGAAAATCACGAAGTGTGCGGCCTCTGGTGGCTAACTTTGCAAGTCTTGCGAGTATGAACAACAATTACAACAAATATGGCGACCATTGTTTTGAGTTTCATAATAATTATGTGTTTCATTCGAAAATAATTTATATGTTGAAGTGCATATTCCAGAACCTCATTTTTTTTCTGATGAAAAAACTCGAATTATTGCATGAACTTTTATTGTTTACAATGAAGAAACCAGTACCTACCTACCTTATTATAATATAATATACATTTTCTGAAGCACAATTAGAATCATTGTATAAATGTTGGTTGCAATGATTCGATCTTGAGAATAATTTCAAGTCCTCTATTGCTGGAGACCCTCGTTTATGTAAATGATGATTCTGAGCAACCTCTCCAACCATATCTTCTGTTCCAACCCGTTCATAGAATCCCATCTCCTTCATAAAAGGCAGTGATATTTCTTGATGAATTCAATTATTTCTTCATACCTATACCATTTTGTTGTAATAGCTGATTGCTTATATGGTTCCATTCCAGTCCATGCAAGTGTTGCTTAGACCATTCCGACCATTCCATATGTTTGAAAACTGTGGAATTGTAGTGTGATATCAATGATGAATACCACCATTAACCCCATCAAAATGGCAAATTCTCTGCACCAAAAGTAATGTTTTCCATACTGGAAACCTTGTACATATTTCACGAAGTCAACTTATTATTCACTATTTTGCAAAATTATTTCGAAATAACCAATTTGCAATGAGTGCATACGGCAATGTTTTTGTTGTTCATACTCAGTTTGTAATTTGACGTTGATTTGACGTTTAATAGGTTCGTGATTTTCGCGAATTATTAAATTTCCTAGTGTAAAAAAAAGAAGAAAAGTCTATTGTGAAGCAAGAATTTTGAAGGCATTTCCGTCTTCTGAATTAATTAAGCATTCCAATAGTGTGAGTACCGGAAACTTCCGTTTTGGGTTCACTATTGGATCTCTCTGTAAACACTGGAATTGTATAATTTGGAGATTGGATTCCTTTTTGGGAAACTTCAACGTTAGCTTTTTCAGTATCTCAGAAATTGGTTGCACACTGGTCAGCCGATATTGAAGTTCGTTTGATGGATGGTGAAGGGGATTTTGAGGGTGCCGGATTTTGGTAATTTTTTTTTTATTATCTTTATTATTCCCAAGAAACATATATGTTTATAGCAGGGAAAATTATGAAAGAGCAACTAAAAAAACAAAAATAAGATAATCAGATAATCATTTTTAAATCATATACATAATACATATAATGTTGTTTCTTCTAGAGACTGTTGAATATAATTTCTTGAATTGATTCAGGATGACATGAAGAGAATCAAAGACATAAGTATTTTTTCAGTTCTTTTTTGAATTTTTCAACACTTAATTTTTTCTTTAGTCTGGCAGGTAATTCATTATAGAGAATTGTTCCATTGTATAAAATAGATCTTTTACCCATATCTGATTTAATTTTGATGAGAGTTAACATATCTTTTTGTCTGGTTATGTGTTCGTGTTTATGACTATTGACTTCAAAATTCAGATTTGAATGTTTATAATTATATTTGACGGAATGGATGAAATTCAATATTTTGAATTTGTAAATGGAGTTTATATCTAACAATTGCCTAGGTTTATAAAGATTTCTTGTTGGTTCCAAGTAATCTAGTTTGTATATACATTTAATAACTTTGTTTTGAAGGATTTTGATTGGCTTCATGATTGATAATCTAGCAGTACCCCAAACTGAAATCAAGTATTGTAATTTTGAATAAACCAAGGAAAAATATATGCATTTCAAGTATTTCAAAGTGATTTGGTGTCTGATCCTGTAGAGTATTCCGATTACTGGAGATATTTTCTTTCTGCTACTTCCAAATTGTTCAGTGCCGTCTTCCTCGTGTTCATGTATATTGGGTGAGCATACTGAAGAATTGGGCGGCAAATGGTTTCTCAAATATGTGTTGCAGTTCTTTTGATGATTCCTTTATTCTTGTAAGTTAGGCTTCGAAAATGTTTAGCTCTTGTGATGCACTTTTTTTTCATCAACTGGGTATGATGGTTAAAGTTCAGTTTTTGATCTAAGTGCACTCCCAGATATTCAACTAATGCCCTACTACATGATTGTTCACAGTTACCGTGGGTGAATCATCTGATATTTTTTTATTGAAGAGTATCAGTTGGGATTTTTCTGGATTTGGTTTTAGTCTCCACTTGTCACATCATCTCATAATGTTCTGAATTGCGTTCTGTAACTCTTCAACTGCTTTTTCAAGTGATGACTTATAATGGCTGTATCATCAGCAAATTGTATGCCATAGATGAATGTGTTTTGATTTTGTAGATTTTGATCGGTCCAATTGAATATGTCACAACAGTATATATTGTAGAGAGATGGAGACAAGGGAGTCCTTGATGCGGGTGGAAATGTATTGATTGTGCCTGTGCTACTTTTATTTGCAGGGACCTTTCGTCTAGATAATCCTTCATTAAGTGTATTGTGTATTATATGTTTAGGGCCGTTTAAAAGTACATAATTTGTAAAGTATTCCTTTGTGCCACACGCTGTCAAAAGCTTTGTTAATGTCAAGAAAGATAGCTGCACTACGAAATCCGGAAAGTTTGCTTGTTTGTATATTTGATACGAGGACTGAAATTGGTTGAATGGTTCCACATTTGTGTCGAAATCCACACTGGATTCTCCCATTTAATCAATAAATGCCAAATTTTATATGAAAAATGTCTTGACTCTTTATTTGGGGATAGAATGTGGTTGGGTGGTGAAATGATCAAAACCCCTCTTCAAAAAGCCAAACGAGTAGCTAAGTTATGACCTATAGGAGGGTCAACATCTGAGTTGCGACAATGAAACGTACATAAAATGTTGCTTCTACATTGGTAGAGGTTTTTAGGATGGCAACTTGGAGCAAAGTCCCCCATTCAACACATGCGGTATTTTGGTTCTCGTACTCACCTAATAGAGGCTCTTTCGGGCAACAGACCTCCATGGGTATGTTGTCAGGCTCGCGCTCGTCTTCGAACATGGAATTCTGTGTGCGGAAAGCTGACCCGTTCGCCGACTTGCTAGGCGACACCTTCGACGACTCTGTAAATGTTAAGAAAATTATGTACCGGGTGTACCACTAAGAGAACGCCGATAAGTCTTGAGGTTCATCTGCAAATAAATAATTTCTGATATGATGCATTCTGCGCATTTTTGAAAATTAATCTAATTAGTCGGACTGTTTATTGATTATAGCTACAATGTATTCTTATTGTAAACAAACTGATATGTTGCTGGTCCTCGCGGGCTCTACAACAACTCTCGCAACACAAATTTAGTGATAACTATTCAGTACCTAAGGTAAGCACTTTAACACCGTGTACCAACACAATGAAACGTTTTTGGATATAGGTGAGTTGGCTAAAATCAACTTGTTTTTATCCCAGGAGTCCACAGCCGAGCCATGTCCCAACCTTTTACAGACACCCTGTATTTATACAGTGTGTCCCACTTACCATGCTCACCATGGGTATCTTTTTAACGGTGAGAGATACGAGGTCGGTTAAATGACACCAAATGTGGAGTTTGTCAAGGCCAACTATAATGTGGAAAAATATTTTGATAAAATCTATTCGTTTTTGTTTTATACGCAAAAAACAGATTTTGATCATTTTCATGTCTCCTCCGTAACTTCTTTATTTATGAAAATATTCAAATAGGAATTTCACATTCTCATGGCAGTTTTTCAAAGTGATTTCGAAAAAAATATGAAATTTATACCAACTCTTCTAGAATTTGAGATATCATCACCAACTTTAGTTTTTCAAATGTAGGTCATAGATCACTATGAATTAGATACAAATAACTCTTTTTCCTCTTACAGATGATATGTCGCAGTAATAGTTTTGTGTTGATAACAACGGAGTTATCGTCATTTATACAAAAACAAAAAATTATTTGGAAGCCGCCATCTTGAATTTATAAATTTCAACAAAAAAATCATGATCTCCGACCTCAAAAACCCCCACTTACCAATTTTGAATGGAATCGGACCAAATCTTGTCCGCCATCTTGGATCGGCCATTTTTTTTAATTTCAACAAAAATTCCATAATGTATTGTCAACGAAATCATGAACACCTGCCAAATTTCAAGTTAATCGGAGTTATGGAATTTTAGTTGAAATTAAAAAAATGGTTGCTCCAAGATGGCGGACAAAATTTGGTCCGATTCCATTCAAAATTGGTAAGTGGGGGTTTTTGAGGTCGGAGATTATGATTTTCTTGTTAAAATTCATGAATTCAAGATGGCAGCTCCCAAATAAATTTTGTTTTTGTATAAATGACGATAACTCCGTTGTAATCAACACAAAACTATTACTGCGACATATCATCTGTAAGAGGTAAAAAAGTTATTTGTAACTAAGTCATAGTGAGCTTTGACCTACATTTGAAAAACTGAAGTTGGTGCTGATATCTCAAATTCTAGAAGAGTTGGTATAAATTTCATATTTTTTTCGAAATCACTTTGAAAAACTGCCATGAGAATGTGAAATTCCTATTTGAATATTTTCATAAATAAAGAAGTTACGGAGGAGACATGAAAATGATCAAAATCTGTTTTTTGCGTATAAAACAAAAACGAATAGATTTTATCAGAATATTTTTTCACATTATAGTTGGCCTTGACAAACTCCACATTTGGTGTCATTTAACCGACCTCGTATCTCTCACCGTTAAAAAGATACCCATGGTGAGCATGGTAAGTGGGACACACTGTATATTCACCATGTTCTCTGCTATAAACGAATGTTGTTTCTTGGGAATAATGAAGTTGATTGATTGATTCATTGATTGATTGATTGATAATATCAGCAACATTTTTTTGTTACCAACCATAAAAATTGTATCGTGAGAGCTCTTTTGTAGCTTATTCAGGTATCACGATGAAATAACCCATCAAAGACGAGTTATTGAACAAAAATAGAAAAATTGTCTAACCGTTACACTTGCGTCCGATGTCGAGCTGGTCGCTATCGCCAATCTGCACAGAGGAGATCGGCCCGTCAAGACAGGGGGAGAGCAATCGAGGGTTGTTCGCGAAGAACTCGACCATCTGCGAGGCGGTAGGTCGCTCTTTGGATTCCTGCTTCCAACAGGATTTGATCAGGCCGACTCTGAAAACAAAATGGAAATATTAAAAAACCCGTTCAAATATAAAGTAGTATATTGAGGAGTACTGATGCAAGTGTTTCTTTACCTAATGCCGATTGATTTTAGATTGTAGCCAGGTTAGAGCTTGGTTAGGTTAGGTTTGGTCACAAGTGAGTGGGTCTATTCAACCCTCCACTGCTGCTCACACCAATTCATACTTCACCGAGCACCGAGTAGATGTATGTATGTATGTATGTGTGTGGGCGGTCCGGGACCTGAGGCCTCCCTTTTCGGGCCCATTGTGCACCCACATTTCTGGGATCGCAAGTCAGCCATGGAGAAGGCCGATCCCGCGAGCAAAAGAGGCCAACTTTCTAGGCCAAATCTTTTCAACATCCTCTGGGTCCAGGATATTGCCCCCAAAATGGATATCCCTTGCTGCCACTACTGCCGGGCATTCAGTGAGGATGTGAGTAGAAGTCTCTTCATCCTCTAGGCACCATCTGCATTCAGGATCCTCCACAATCCCGATCGTGCTGAGATGCTTGTTCAAGTGGCAGCGCCCTGTCGAAAGGCCCACCACCAGTTTCAGCTCCTTCCTGTTCAAAGCAAATATGGAGTTTGGACTGCCTCATCCCAGGAGCCTCTCTCCAGCTGTCATGAAACCTTTCCGTCAGGATTTCCTTCATCCTGAAGTTGCTCCAGGATCGAGTGACCCCTAAGATTGGCTCTGGACCAATCACTGGACCCTTCGCCTTCTTCTGGCCAGACCCTCGGCCATTTTGTTACCTGGTACCCCTGAGTTCCCAGGGACCCACAAAAGACATACTTTGTTCGTTGCTGACAGCCTTTGTAGGTTATCTATGCACTCTGACACAAAGGCGGAGGTCACGACCGAGCAGATCCAGCTCATTAATGAAGCCGATTAGGTCAGGGCTTGACAGACCGGTAATCAAAGAAACACTTGCATCAGTAATCGTTTATACGAATCAATGCATAGATTTTGGGAGGGTGTAATTCAATGTTCTGCAAGAAATTAGTTGTTTTTTACCCGTCCTCTACCATTGTTGAACATTTGAGGAAATGACTATGAGATTTGAATAAAAGACTAACTACTTATGAATTTTACTCAGTACTTTTTCTTGAGATGAATGTTATTACAATCAAGTAATTCAACTGTCTAGTCCCATAACTATGGACTGTATTGATTTCATTAAATGATGAGTTAGATTTTTTCAATTTATTCCTGCTAGAATGAATAATGTTGTTTGAGTTCCAAGAACTATATCAGAATCATGAAATTTCTAGATTTGTATTTGAAATCTCTTCAAAATAACGCCATAAAATGTTCATTATTCCAGATTTTTTAGGATTCTCTCTCTTTGTTTCTATAAAATAATATTATTTCAACATACTTGTAGTAAGGACAAATCAGATGATTTGCCCCAAAATGTCACTGCATTTAAAGAATTTTCCTATCAGAGATCCTATAAAAAAAATCCACCAGCATGTCAATGACAATTTGTATTGAAAACGATTTGGAGAAGAGAAATAAAGGCATATAGGAATAAAGGCATATAGAAAAAATATCAAATTTTCACTTAGCTTTGGACGTTTCGGGAATTCGTCTTTACACTTCTCAGTTCTCAGTGAAAATGTGATATTTTTTTATATACCTTTATTTGTCTGCTCCAAACCTTTTACAATACAAATTATCACTGACAAGCTGGTAAATTTTTCATTTAGGCTATCTGAAAGGAAAATTCTTCAAACGCAGTGACATTTTGGGGCTAATCATCCGATTTGTCCTTACTACACGTATATTGAAATAATATTCATATTTTTATTTTATAGAAACGAGGATAGAACATCCCAAGAAATCTGGAATAGTGTAGGAATTTCTCCTTTTTATCTGACTAAGATCAGCTGAAAATCATGATATTCCTCAACTTCTCACTTCCGAAAAAAACCACCCAAACCACTCAAAAAGAAGAATGCAACCCAACTCACAGCTGCGGTTTGACGCCCTTCGGTATATCCAGGACGTGCCCCTCCTTGACCAACTCCAGCACCTGCGCATTGCTCTTGCCCTGGAAGGGGAAGCTGCCGAAGGTGATGATCTCGTAGAGCAGCACGCCGAAGCTCCACACGTCCGAAGCGGGCGTGAACACGCCCAAGGCAAGGCTCTCGGGCGACATCCAGCGTACGGGAAGCATGCCCCGCCTACAGACAAGAAATTTTATAATATGAAGTGCTCAAATAAACAAGTGAAACACTGAAATATTTGACAATTCTCGAACTGCCGTATCTTTTTATAAAATGAATGGATTTTCAATCGGAACGCGTGCTTGGAAGAGCGATCTTTCTGTTCAAGATTCCTCGATCAAAACTCGTCAGGAGATTTTCTGTCATTATACACCAAGTGTTCGAAAAAAGTATTACAAAAATGAGAGAATTCAAAAGCTTTCGTATTCCATGATTTTTTTTTTATTTTTCAATCAATAATTTTTTCCGAACGTTCAAGCCAATATCTTGAAACGGTTTTGTAATTATCCATATTCGTTGTACAGGATGTAAATGTAAATCGATGATTTTTCATTTTTAGGTTTTTATCACATCATTTCTGATTTTAAAATTATGCAAGCCACATTCAACGTATTTTGCGATGGATGGATGGAACATATCCTAGAAAATGGATTCATATTGCGTTGAAATCATCGACAACTCTAACAGAAGAAGAATTAATTTTTTTTTAGAAATGTTCAGAACTTGGTAAAATCGTCTGTTCAGTTTGGTGCTGCCATAACCTTATGCAATGCTAAACACAAATCCTTCATTTGGATCGATTGCTCATTGATTTCGTGATTTTTCAGATAAGGCAATCCAAGGGGGTGCAAGGAGGCCCTTTTGGATTTTTTTGAACAATTCATACAATAATGTCTCTTTTCTTTAGATTTATGTAAAGCTTTCGATACTGTAAATCATGATATTCACTGAGTAAAATACATTCAATAGGTATCAGAGGAAAAATATTTGATTGGTTAAAAAATCATCTGGAAAATAGAAAGCAGTATGTTGAAGTCAATAATATTTATGAAATGACACAAGACAATAGACGTATGCACCATAATTAGGTATAATACATTTTTTTGTCATTTATAAAAACATTAATAGATTTATTAACATAATGGGTCGGGATATTGATTTTATAAGGACCCACATGCCTTTGAATTGCCAAAGGTGACAATCAAACATTTAAAAATCTAACCCAGTTTTTGGGCCCTTATAAAATTAATAACCCGACCCATTACATAAATAAAAATTATTATACCTAATTATGGTGCATTCGTATGTGTCTTGTGCCATTTTATTGTATAAATTATCAATTTTTCAAATTTTCATTTCCATAACTGAACTCTTGTATTCGGCTGATGATGGGCTTATATAAGCCCGAAACATGTACCTCTATGTGATCGATCTCTGATCGTCAAATGAATGTTGTGGAGATAACTTTGGGTTTCTTCAATTATGGTGTATATCATTATTATTATAGTATGCTGATATGTAGTCTGTGATTGCCTTCAAAGCCTGCTAACCCTGGCTAACCACAACAAGGTAACTCTTCAATGGGTGCCAGGGCATAAGGGAATTGAAGGCAATGAAGCAGCTGACGCTCTTGCCAGGCAAGGGTCTGCGGCGTTGTTTATGAGACCGGAACCTGTGTTCGGTATCCCCAAAACCTCAATACGCGGCTGGCTGGCAAGGTGGATGCAAGAAAGACATCAGGCATACAGGACAAAGACACATTAAACTGATGGTTGGAACACTGTCCAAAACAGTGACTAAAGACATTCTGAGCCTAAACAGAAGTCAGATCAAACAAGTGACGGGACTAATAACCGGTCACTGCCCCTTGAAGAAACATATGCATCAAATGGGCATCTATACAGACGAACCCATATGCAGACTATGCAATGAGGAGGAGGAAACTGCCACCCATGTAATATTGGAGTGCGAAGCACTAGCGCATTGGAGATACAACCTTCTGGGAGCAGTAAACTCTCAAGAGGCAATTTCAAAGAATGATTTGGTGAAGAGGCTGCTAAACCTCATGCAGTGTTTTGGGCTTCGAACCCTGACTGATCATTCTGCTATTAATCAATCAATCAATCAATGCTGATATGTATGTTATTTTAGAAATGAAGAAAATGAAAAATCAAAGTATGGCATTAAGGTATTCTTTCATCGACCCCTACAAAACGTGGAAAAACATTTATTAGTAAACTTGACAGTATGAATGAAATATCACAACCACTTGAAACGTAAAATCGAAATTTTTCCATCAAATTTGATTCATCAAGGCTCTCAACTGCCTGAAAGAATTTTCACTGTCTTATCAGTTGCTGAATATTCGTTTTATTAGCTATCGAATCACTGGAAATGATCATTGCATTTCTTCAGAATAAGATTCTTCTACAGGATGATATAGTCAAAGCTGTGCAATTTTCCTAAAGTTTTCAAAGCCCCACGCTTGAAAAACACATTTTATCACTAATTTTCTGAGGTGAAAACAAATCGCACTATCTGTTTTCTCGAAACGAGAAACGGTTTTGGACTAATTTCTGGAATATGAACATTTTCATAAGAGCATGCACAATTTCATGCTCTAATTTCTATTGGCTATGTGTTCTTGTCATGCTGGTTCAAATGATGATTAAGAATCTCGAAATTATAAGCACAATCAACACATGCATTGATACAGAATGGTCCTCGAGAAACAATGGGAGAATTTTCGATTGCCGACCGGATGCGACCACTAGGACCTATTTTGACCGCAGGGTTTTTTATTGATGACCGCATTGACCAATCTCCAAATGGTAACGTTTTTTATTGAAGATCAGGACCGACGATGTGGTTCAAGGATATAAAATATAACCTCGAAACAATCCAATTACTTGAAAATAGTCAGAGACGTGGCAAGGGTTTCAGTCTTCAAAATGAATGACTCGAATTGCTTATAATTCAACAAAAATAGCGTTATATCACTGTATGATTCATTCGAGCGAAATATTCCTCGTAGGCAGTTCAATAGTTATTTATTATACAAGGGAAAAAAGTTGTAGAGTTTAGCTCCAGGTTGTGTTGTCTCCCGACGCGTAGCGGAGGGAGACAATAAACCGTGAGCTAAAATCTAATATTTTTCCCGTGTATAATACACTATTTTTTTCTGTGACAGAAGGAAGGACGAATCAATATTGAGAAGATATTACATTATTTCGAAATCTGAAAATTATCGACGTGAAATTTCAAGTTTTTAACAGTAGGGACACCTGCGTTTTATAGACATCTTTATGATTCTTTTGAAGTAATCAAATATCTGATGTCACTTCTGTCAGTTCAATTCTGTGATTTGATTTTGAAAAATTGCGAATTCAGTAGTTGTTTAGTAATATACGAAACCGCGAAGTCGAATGGAAGATAAAAGGACTTGCAGTTCTTTCTCGGAGACGGTATTATTGACTCATTTTTCGGAACTATAGCACAACAAAAGCCATTAACAGAGTATATATATATGATATATATCCGGGAAAAAAGTACTCACTTTTTTCCCACGGGAAAAAAGTAATTTATGAAAAGTGACATTTTATAACCTGCCAACAGAGATGAAATGCCAAACTTTTTTCCCGTCACAGAAAAAAATCATTATTCCATCCACAAAATTTATCTTGAGTAATTAAATGACTGATAAAAGAAATGATTTCTAATAATATATCTGATTTTTAGGATATCAGGATATGTGTTATGGCATATGAACGATTGAGGTGAAGTTCACGGTTTTAAAGGTTTCTGTCCTTTTTATAATATACAAGCGACCAGTTGAAACCAATCTTATTTGTCATTGTGATCAGTAACGTGACATTAACCTCCGGGTGATCAGGCTGGTCGGCAACCACAAGCTCTATAAATTATTCCTGTATGATTAAACACAACGTGACCAATAGGTGTTTGCAACCAACACTGCACAGTTGGTAAATAAATAACTGGAAATTAACAGAGCTGCTATCAAAATAAAACATGGGCGTACTAAACAAAGTGCAGGTTTGTGATTTCACTGAAAATTGAAACAAAGTTGAAACAGAAATAGTACCCTGCAACGCTGCTTCTTTGTGGGTTCTTGTGAGTTTGAATTGTGGAAGAAAAAGTATACTGTTTCATAAAATATTTCACAGCCCAAAATGACTGACACATCAGTAACTTTTTGCGCTAAACAATCCTTCTGTAGGCCAGGTTAGAAAGTACCTAAAAAAATGAAAATTTGACTTGCCTGGTGAACTTGTAGTAGTCGTTGTCAAACATGGCGCGAGTCATGCCGAAATCGCCTATTTTGACGGTGCGCTGCGCGTTGATGAGGCAGTTTCGCGAAGCTATGTCCCGATGGACGAACTTCATCTCGGCCAGATAGCTGAGGCCACGGGCTACGTCCATTGCCATGTTGGTCAGTCTTTTCGAGGACACCTGAAAAAAAAAAAGAAATAATTAGTGCAGACTCAGGACTACCTTCAAAATCTGTAATTTTACGCTCTAGAGAGAGAGAGAGGAAACATTTATTCATCCACCCCTGCATGTACAAGGGAAATGTTTACAGGTTATATACCGAAAGGCTGGTATAGAAGTGGTCGAAAACAGGTTTCAAATTGTGGGTTTCCGGTAGATGAATGATAAACTTCATTCCAAATTGAATGAAATTTAATGATCATATAAATAAAGATTTGAGGAATTATCAATACTCAAATCAGTTATCTATTTACTTAAAATTCAAAGTCATCAGGAACCTCTGAAATTCCATTAGTTAATAAATCACTCAGTCATCTATCATTGTACTTGAAGCAACACCTCAATCTGACATTTATTAGTTTCTTTCCGATCAGCGGAGTTCATATTCTCTAGTCCCTGTAATATTTGCAAAACGCTTACCGTGCGAAACTATGTATGTATGTGTATGTATGTATTATGTTCTGGTTTCCACGAAATGGGATATCCTGTAATGTTCAGAGAACGTCGTGAGAACCAAGGGAAATAAGGTAGGAATTGTTATGTCATGTTATGTTATGATTGCAAGTGAAATGAACATGAACTCCATTATGGAAAAAGTTGGATTCCTGAGGCACTCGAGTATAGATTAATTCTGCAGAAGTAGGTATGTAGCGAGCGGAAGTAACGAAGAGGAAAAGAAAAATGTAGAAAGAAAGGATGAGATAGAGAGAAATTAAAATGAGAAAGAGGTGAATGAAGGAAAATACATTCGACCACTAACATCTTCCGATTCGTCGACGTTCTTCGACTTGACCAGATGCCGGCGCGCCAACAGATAGTTTTTGAGGTCACCGTACAACATGAACTCCAATATGGAAAAATTTTGATTTCTGAGGCACTCTAGAGTATATAGTTCGATTCTGCAGAAGTATGTAGCGGACGGAAGGAAGGGGAACGAAAAAGGTAGAAAGAAAGGATGAGTTAGAGGAAAATAGAAATCAGAAAGAGAAATAAAGGAAAATACCTCCGACCACTAACATCTTCCGATTCATCGACGTTCTTCGACTTGACCAGATGCCAGCGCGCCAACAGAAAGTTTTTGAGGTCGCCGTACAACTTGAACTTCACCATGGAAACAGTTAGATTTCTGATGCACTCTAGAGTATAGTTTCATTATGCAGAAGTAGTAATATTGTGGACGGATGGGATAGACAGAAATAAAAATGAGGGAGGTAAATGAAAGAAAATACGTTCGACCACTAACCTCTTCCGATTCGTCGACGTTCTTCGACTTGACCAGATGTCGGCGCGCCAGCAGATAGTTCTTGAGGTCGCCGTACAGCATGAACTCCATGATGGTGTAGACCGGCTCGTCCTTGGTGCAGACGCCCAGCAGCTTGACGATGTTCTTGTGGTCGAAGCGCTTCATCGCCTCGGCCTCCGATAGGAAGTCCAGTTTCTCCTCGGCTGTCGAGCCCATCTTCAGGGTCTTCACGGCCACGGCTGTCCAAATGGTGTCTAGAAAGAAGGGAACATCAATAGGAAACATAGATTAATCCTGGTTATTTGCCGCGTCGAACATTGAATTATATCTGTTGAACATCCAAAAAGAGAGCATGGAAAATTTTAATCCTCTGAAATTGAGGATTCACATCATCTCTCAATTCAGAATTTCTTTCCACGTTCTGTATGATGAATATCAATTATCATAGATCCAAAAACAGAAGAGTCGAATAGTCATCAATGTATTTTGCCAAGCCGTACCTGATTCGCGGAGGTTCGCTTCTCCGCCGTAAACGGTACCGAACGCTCCCTCGCCCAGTTTCCGGTTGATGACCACCGATTCCCGGTGGATCTCCCACTTGTCGAGGTCGCTGCAGTGTCTCGGATCGAACGGGATGCCCAAGGCTCTGGAAATGATAGAATATTATGTAGGATTGATCATTCGAAACATGTCCTTATGTCCATGACCGCTGGTCATTATTAAATTGCTTGTGTGGTGGAGTTGTGACTGTGATAAGTTCTTTCACCCCTCCTGATCTATATGAATGAATTAATTTTTTATGTTCCAATAAATATAAAAATTTCATCTAGAAACACCTCACTTACAAGTTACAAGTATTAGGGAAAAATGCACAGATCTCATAATGTAACTTGGGACAGCATAGCTCAATCTTCTCAGAATACTCACTGGCCCAACCATTTTTTTTCTGATATGCTCTAGATATGCGCCAGGCACTCGACAGTGCATGAGGGCGCATTTAAAAAATGTCCTCTTATTGAAATTGCTCGTGATAAGATCTGTGTTTTACTTATTAAATGTTTGATAAATGAAATATGCAAAGTTTCCTTGTGTCAACATTTTGCAAAATTATGTATCACAAATTTCCATTTTTTGTATTGACTCGACCGTTACTTGATGGAAATCCATGGTAAGTGTAAAAACTTCACAACACACGATGTGTTTCGCTAACACGGTAGCTTCGTCAGGTGATATACTGGAACAATGAACTAAACTAACCTTGGCTTGCTTATATATCCTACTTTCCCAACCTGAAAGATTGGTTACCTGTGGACAGATTCGATGATCCTCCATTATCGGAAATTAGGAACAATATCTACATTAAAATACGGTGTACCAGATTAATTTGGAAATGTTGATAGCAAAAACAAATTACCTACTAAGAAAACAAATTCAACAATGGTGAACTTTTGAAGTCTAATTGATCGTTAAGTAAAATGTCAGAATTTTTTAGTTTGTTGGTTTCTAATGATTCAAAATGATTGAGTTTCATTCCTTTATTTTCTACTTGTAGAATTTCGAAATTATAATCAAAACTATGGTTTTCTTCTAACATATGGTTGGCGTATGTTGAATAATCAGCGCATTCATGAACATAAGATGAATTTTTTTGAAAAGTTCCATGTTATGACTTCGATAATAAAAATATTCAGTAATATTATCACCCTTTTTATGATCAATAATCAAAAAATGACACACTATGACGTTTTTTCCAACGGAAAAATGCTGTTTTGCTGTTTTTCACAGTTGAACCCAAATCAAAGGCAACCTAATCACAACTGTTAAGAAATATTTACTGCCTATTTACTGCCTTGGCTAGACAGTATTCAGTAACCCAGATAGGATTTTAGCAGTTTCAGAGGTACTCCCCTCACATCATAGAAGTTCAATTTATGAAGTAATTCTTCGTGCGATACACAGTAGAAGGCCTTGGATAGGTCACACAAGGTGATTTCAGCGTGTTTACCATTCTCAAGGCCCTCGACTATCTTCGCCACAATACGGCTTACAGCCTGAGTCTTGGTGCATTTTGGCCAAAAACCAAACTGTCCTTTATGAAGTGTTATTTTTATTTAAAAAACGCAACAATCGTTTGTTAAGATTATTTCGAAAATCTTTCCGACTATCGGGATTATTGAGATGGGTCTGAAATTTGTGGCCAAATCCGGGTCATCATTTTTATATATTGGGAGTACCTTTGTAATATTCAGATTGTCCGGGAAGATACCATAGAGGAAACATAGGTTAAATAGGATACTGGTACTGGTAGTGGGGGACGTTTCCACGTCAGCAACTAGTCCCTTATGGAACCTTTTTGCAAACCCCAAGTGTTTTCAATGACTGATGTGGTTCGCTCAAGAGAGCTGGCTAACATCCTTGTCAGGCACCGCCCATCAGCACTCTTTTCAGAGTTTTTCAGCTGTGTTTTGTAGGCTAGTAATGTACTCACTACCATATGCGCAGTGGCAGGCCTGCTAGCTATCCTCGTTAACCCCCGTTAGAGACCGAGGTCCACTAAGCAGCTGGTCCGCTCTCACGCTCAGCTGGTAGTTTTCCACACCCACCTACATACACCGTCCTACTTCTTCTCTGATGCTCACAACCACATCATCACCTTTTTCTGCGTGTTCTGTGTAGGCTTTGTTACTAACTCCATGCGCCACTTCAGGAGCAGCACTGTTAATTGGAACGCAACAGCGAATCGTGCAGGACTATCCCCAGCCGATGCTCCGAAAACATTAAATAGGATAAGTAGGGGTTCAATTAGTAGGGTCGCCGTCCCCTTCATGATTTTAATGTTTAAATAATGTATGTCAATGCAGTTGGAGTTTTATAGTGAATTGATTGATGAATAATGAATGGATAATGAATAAAAATGAACAAAACATTACTCACTTCATGTAGTTCTTGGTCTTCTGCACCTTCCTGTCGTACTTCCGCTTCATGTAGAAGCAGACGCCGACGACGCCGAGCAGCAGGACGCCGGCGACGATCACATTGAGGATGATGACGGCCGTCTGGCACTCGACGTCGAAGGCCCGCGCAAGACCTTCGACGGCGCACGAGGGCGGCGGTAAAGTGCCGTCAGCGGGCACCCGCCCATCGGGCGTGAACCACCTGTGGACAAGAGAGAGAATGAGTGGGGCGAAAGAGATAACTGGAAAATATCCATAGACCCCTAGCGTCACTAGCGTTGTCCACTTGTCGCATTAGCTTGGATTTTTTCAGCACCGAGCGCGTTTTTTGTGGTGGGAGAATTACAACAAGTAGAGTGACATCATAAATAGAGTGACTACAATAGTGGTACACTTTTTGATTGGTCAGACCTCTGATATGAAAGTGCATTCACATGTCTTGTTTTCTTCATCAAGTTCTACGCAATCTATTCCACTTTGTCAATGCTTTGTCTCTGTTTTTTACTCTAACAATTACACATGACACTCTATACGTCAGTACCTTGGATATTAACTATCAGAATCCGTCTTTTGGGACTCATGGGTCTCAGATTATTTAGATGATGAAATAAAAATATCAAATATCCAAACCTAACAATTAGGTGGGCACATCAAAGGCGCAAATTCATTACTGCATGGGAGATACCCTTCGGATTATTAGTGACTTGACCAGAATGACGTTCCGGAAACGTGGAGGTCTATTGTTGTCACTCTATTCGATCTACTCACTCTAGTTTGAAGTATATACCAATTTTACTTACAAAATTTGTCCAGTTATTATATAATTTTTCGATTTTTTTTCAAGTTTAGAGTTTATACAGTGTTTATTCATAATATTGCACAATTTTTTGAGATGCCACTCCTAAAAAAGCAGTGCTGTAACTTCTAAATCATTCAAGTTCGGATTCTGAAAATTGACACCATGTATACATTTCCATATTCGTATTCAGCAGATGGCATTACACATACTAGAATCTTTTTTTTTTTTCAAAATTCCCAAATCTATAGGGTGTCCTCTCTCAAAATTGAGAGTTTTTATATTTTTTCATTTATCCCTATTATAAAGAGATACCTATATTTCTTGGGGGCGATAAAAGACAATCAATAATAAGAGGGGTCTAATTCCATACTTGATATTTTGTTGATGAGTGGCATCTCATATAATTGTGAAATATTATGAATAAGCAATGTAAAAACTCGAAACTTGAAAAAATCGAAATATAATATAATAACTGGTCAAATTTCGCAAGTAATATTGGTGTCATCAAGTTATTATTGTATTTGTTAATTTTTAAACATCCTTTAGACATGATGTTTCTCGGTCTACAGAAAATAGTTGATAAGCACTTTTTGTAAATAAAAAAACTTGTCAGAATAAAAGTCAATCAAGTAAAACGGAAATTATTGAAAGAAATACAGAAAGAGTATTTTATATGGTCCTTCAACCCTAAATAGACACCAAAAGTGGTGATACAGTATATTCAGAAAAATTTAGACAGCAGATAAAATTCCGAAAATGTCAGAAGATCTTAGACGATCCAAGAGGGAAACAGCTGGTAGAAATACAAGACTTGGTGCTGATCAATGGGAAATGGGAAGTCTAAGAAGAATATTGCCTGCAAAAATAGTCCAACATGCCATCATTCATAATGAAGATTCTTCAAGAGGAAGTCGTGCAGCTGGAGGAGATGAAGTTCCGGAAAATAGGGATGAAGCAAGATCAGGAGCTAGGGGCTCAGTTAGATCTCAAGCTATACAAGGCTCATCGAAAGTACCGGTGGATTCATGTTCTCAAATAAGATCTGAAAGATCAAGAACGTCTTCAAGAAGAGTGGAAGTGGAGAAGAGGCGTTTGGCGTTAGAAACAGAGAGGGTAAAATCGGATTTGCTGATGAAGAAACAAGAAATAGAGAATCAAATGAGGATGCTGCAGATGCAACAGAAGTTAGCAGAAGCAGAAATAGAAGAAATGAGCAGTAACGGCGATTCAGTCAGTCACGGTAAAGGGAAAAGTTTGATAAGTATTGAAAGCATGGTCGATGGAGGAAAGAAAACTGAAATCCAGAGTTGGATAGAAAACTGTGAGTATTTCAATGCTTCAAATGATATTCACAAAATGAACGAAATTCCTAAAGATGAAGATGATAAAATGTCAAAGTTATGTAATGTCATCGCTGATGCTATCAAAACAGTGTCAAATTCCAATAATGTGCCACAAGAATTTCTCAGTAGACAAATAATGGACAGGGACTTTCCAATTTTCGAAGGCAAGCCCGAAAGTTGGCCATTATTCATAAGCCAGTTCAATAGGAAAGTTCAAATATGTCATTACACTGATGATGAAAAGCTATTGAAATTACAAAAATGTTTAAAAGGTGATGCTTTAGAAGCAGTAAGAAGTTTGCTGTTGCATCCCAAAAATGTAAAATTGATCATGGACACTTTACAAATGAGATTTGGTCGTTCGGACATAATCATTCGCTCCTTATTGGACAAAACTCAGTCTATTCCATTTATCAAAGCAGGTGATTTTAATGCATTCATAAATTTTTCATGTTACGTCAACAATTTGGTAGCGACGCTTGAACAATTGGACGCAAGTACCCATCTACAGAACCCTTTCTTACTGGAGCAGTTGGTGACAAAAATTCCCAGTAGCCTCAAACTACAGTGGGGACAAGTTGTTATGCAGAAGGAAGGTAATGCCAATCTGAGAGATTTCAGCTTATGGGCAGGTGAAGTATCTACTGCTGCATGCTACGTGAGTACAGGAAATACCAATTTTTCAAATAATAATAGGAAATACACCAATAATTATCGATATGAAAATGTTATGCAGACAAATCATCAAACAGAGAAAAAATGTTCTTATTGCAATGAGTTATCCCATCAGATCCATGATTGTTCAATAATGAAAAATGATAGCGTCGATGAACGTTGGTCTAAAATTTCCAAGCTCAAGATTTGTTATTGCTGTTTACGTTTTGGTCACATGAAACGGTATTGCAAGTCCAAGCAACGTTGTGGGTTTGAGGGATGTACGAGACGTCATCATAATTTGTTACATAAAGTTTCAACTGATACAGAACAAGTTAATAATAATAGTCAGGCAAACAAAAATGAAACCAAGGCTGAAGAAATGGTCTGTACTATAAGAAATGATTCCAAAGTTTTACTTCGGATTTTATCAGTTAAAATTTATGGCCCACGTGGATGTATAGATACTTATGCTTTCTTTGACGAAGGATCAACGGTTTCTCTGATGGAAAACGAAATTGCTGATCAGTTAGGAATATCTGGCCCTATTGAACCAATTTGTATGCAATGGGCAAATAATATGGTTGCACGTGACAACAATTCGAAATGTGTTGAATTTAAAATATCAGGAATACATGATGATGCAAAAATTTTCAATATAAGGAATGTCAGAACCATCAAAGATCTCTCGTTACCTACTCAAACTATTAAAATGAAAGATTTTGAAAAATATGCACATCTCAAAGGATTGCCTATTCGAGATATGATAAATGCCAAACCGACAATATTGATTGGTCAAGATAATATCAACTTAACAGTAGCTAGAAAAGTTTATCAAGGTGTATTTGATAGCCCTATTGCAACAAGAACATCTTTAGGATGGGTTTTACACGGAAATGTTAACCGAAACGATAATGGAAATATCTATAACTTTCATATTTGTTTGTGCGAAAATGAATCTGATTCAGAGTTGAATAAACTAGTGAGGGAATCATTTTCTACAGAGGGTTTTGGAGTTGTTTCAACAGATAGAAAAATCAAACCAGATGAAAGAAGAGCACTAGAGATCTTGGAGCAAACTACAAAGTATTTACCTGAAGAAAGACGTTATGAAACTGGACTACTGTGGAGAAGAGATGATATAAGATTGCCTGAGAGTAAGTCTACAGCCTATAGGAGACTACTTTGTGTCGAGAACAAGATGTCCAAGGATGATATTTATCGTCAGAAGTATTGCGAAAAAATTGAAGATTATCTGAGAAAAGGTTATATCAAAAAACTCAGTGAAGCAGAGACTAGACAAGAGAACGACAAAACTTGGTATCTACCTCATTTTGGGGTGATAAATCCAAATAAACCAAAGAAATTCAGATTGGTATTTGATGCAGCAGCCAAAAGTCATGGAGTTTCTCTCAATGAAAACTTGCTTCAAGGACCTGATTTCTTGAGTTTTCTTCCAGGAGTACTGATGAGATTTAGGAAATCGAGATGGGGGTTTTGCGGTGATATAGCCGAAATGTTTCATCAAGTCAAAATAAGGGAAGAAGACAGATGTGCACAACGGTTTCTTTGGCGCGATGGAGAAAGCAAAAAGCAGGCAGATACATACGAAATGCAGGTAATGATTTTTGGATCTTCTTGTTCTCCTAGTGCGGCACAATATGTCAAAAATCTTAATGTTAGACGATCATCTTCTCTCGATTTAGTTGAAGACGTTGAAAGAAATTTTTATGTTGATGATTATTTAGATTCAAGTACTACTGAAATTGGGGCTGTAGAAAAAGTTGAGAAAATAATCAAACTAAACCAAGAGTGTGGATTCAACGTGGTCAACTGGGTATCCAATTCATCTTTGGTGAATGAGAGATTTGGAAGGACAGATGCAGTCAAAGATTTGAACAAATCTACAATTGATAGAGTTCTGGGCATATGGTGGGACACCAAAGCTGATGAATTCACATTCAAACTTGCTTTTCACAAAGTTCCAGAATCCGTCATGAATGGGTCCAGAATACCAACCAAGAGAGAGGTCCTTCAATTAACCATGTCAGTTTTTGACCCTTTGGGATTCTTGACCTATTTAACAATAAGAGGACATATAATTTTGCAAAATATCTGGAGAAGCGGAATAGCATGGGATGATACAATTCCTCAGAGTATATTCGAAGATTGGAAATTATGGATGAACTATCTTAAATTGATTCCTTCTATTCGCATACAGAGATGCTATTCATCGCATAACGATTTTGAATCTTCTGAAATCCATGTATTCTGCGATGCAAGTGAAGAAGCTTTTGCAGCTGTAGCATACATACGACTTGTGAAGAATACTGATATTGAAGTTGCTTTAGTATCTGCAAAAGCTCGAGTCAGCCCATTGAAACCATTATCAATACCAAGATTGGAGTTGCAGGCTGCGGTCATGGGTAGTCGATTATTGAATAACATACTGAAAGAAATTAATTTCCACATAAACACTTACTTCCTATGGACGGATTCAAAAACAGTTTTGAGTTGGATAAGAGGGGATGGGAAAAGCTATAAGCAGTTTGTTTCTCACAGAGTAGGAGAAATTCAAGAAGAAACTGCTATTGAACGATGGAAATATGTTCCTACCAAATTAAACGTGGCTGACGAAGCAACGAGATTTGCAAATTATGAATTGCACAATTTGAAGAGTCGTTGGTTCAATGGACCTGATTTCCTGAAGGAAGCTGAAACCTGCTGGCCGACTGAAAGTACTATAGAAAAATTCAGACCAGACGATGACGATGAGAAGAAAGTTATTGCAAATATAATAACCCTGGTCTCAGATTTTGGAGACATACCTGATGTGAACAGATTTTCGAAATGGCGAAAATTCATAAGGAGCACAGCATGGGTAGCTAAATTTTGTAGAACACTCATGATAAAGACAAGGAAAGTGGCAGGAAATTTTTCAAAAGAGCTGACATTGAAGGAAATCATGGAAGCGGAAACAAGGTGTTTGAAGAAGAGTCAAGAGGAATCATTTAGTGATGAAAAAAGGACTTTAAAGATGAAGAAAACAGTTGATAAAAGTAGCAGAATTCACAAACTTTTGCCTGTTTTAGATGAGAATAATATTATCAGATTGAGTAGCAGGATAAACTTTGCAAAATGCTTGGATGATTCAACAAGAAATCCAATGATTCTTGATCCCAAAAATAAAATAGTGAAACTGCTTTTGCAACACTACCATGAGAAGTTCCATCATCAAGGAATGGAACTTGTCCTGAATGAATTGAGGCAGAAATACTGGGTGATAAAAGGAAGAAGCGCAATCAGAAATGTTTTTAGGACTTGTCAGTACTGCAAAGTAAAGAAATCTAAGCCTGAGGTTCCAAGAATGGGAGAGTTGCCTGAAATGAGATTAACACCTGGAGTGAAACCATTCACATTCACTGGGATAGATTACTTTGGACCACTCTATGTGACCGTAGGAAGACATAGAGAAAAGCGGTGGGGAGTACTGTTCACCTGTATGACTGTTCGTGCGATACATTTGGAAATAGCTCATTATCTCACATCTGATGGAACGATAATGGCAATACGAAGAATGGTATCAAGGAGAGGACGTGTTCATCACCTTTATTCGGATAATGGAACAAATTTTAGAGGAGCGAATGAGGAGTTGAAGAAGTTCTTCAAAGGAGTGGATGAAGAGGGGATTCGAAAAGAAATGACAGAGATGAATATAGAATGGCACTTTCTAGCACCTGGTAGTCCAAATATGGGCGGTTGCTGGGAACGTTTGATTGGTTCTGTCAAGAAAATTCTTCAGGTGATTCTAGTAGAAGAGGCTCCAAGAGACGAAGTTCTGTTGACTCTATTTGCAGAGGCCGAAAATATTGTTAATAGTAGGCCTTTAACTCATGTTTCTATTGATCCTGATGACCTCTCATGCCTAACGCCAAACCACCTATTGATAGGCTCCTGTACAGAAACTCCATTTCCTGAAAATTTCGATGAACAAGACCTACGAAGATTTTGGAAGAAATCACAAAGACTTTCAGAAATATTTTGGAATCGATGGGTGAAGGAGTATCTACCGACACTGTCTACAAGATCCAAATGGCTCGACAAGACTAAACCGCTGCAAGTAGGAGATATTGTTGTTGTAGTAGATGCAAATCTACCGAGAAAAACTTGGCCCCTTGGTCGAGTTGAATCCATATTTCCTGGAAGAGATGATATTGTTCGAGTGGTTGAAGTTAGAACATCAACTGGAGTATATCGTCGCCCTGTATCCAAGCTATGTAAAGATGTCATCAAGTTATTATTGTATTTGTTAATTTTTAAACATCCTTTAGACATGATGTTTCTCGGTCTACAGAAAATAGTTGATAAGCACTTTTTGTAAATAAAAAAACTTGTCAGAATAAAAGTCAATCAAGTAAAACGGAAATTATTGAAAGAAATACAGAAAGAGTATTTTATAATTGGAATATACTTCAAACTAGAGTGAGTAGATTGAATAGAGTGACGACAATAGATCTCCAAATGGCCGCCGTTCCCGGAATGTCATTCTGGTCAAGTCCCTAATAATCTGAAGAGTATATCCCATGCAGTAATGAATTTGCGCCTTCGAAGTGCCCGCAGGTTTGGATAATTGATATTTTTATTTTATCATCTAAATAATCTTATGAGTCCCAAAAGACGGATTCTGAGAGTCAATTTCCAAGGTACTGACGTATAAAGTTTCATGTCGAATTGTTAGAGCAAAAAACAGAGATGAAGCATTGACAAAGTGAAATAGATTGCATAGAACTTGACGAAGAAAACAAGACATGTGAATGTACTTCCATATTAGAGGTCCGACCAATCAAGAAGTGTACCACTATCGTAGTCACTCTATTTATAAAGTAACACTCTACTTCAAACTAACAGGAAAGTTACTTTTCGCGATGAATGAGATATACCAGAGAGAAATTAACCACCTTTTAAGAACCGAAAATTTCGTTTCTCTGAAAACTAAGAATTTCTAATTATCACATTACTCTCCTCAACTTGCGACAAGAGAACTCCGTTCCGATGACCCAAATTCGATGCGAAAAATGTCATTCTAAAGTTGTACACTAATTGCGTTTTATTTATCCGCTTTCGCCACCGGAATCACTTCCACGTGACGTTTTATTTGCTTTTCCGATTCCAGTTGCTCCTTTTCATTCCTTCCTACTACAAGGAATGACATAGAATGACTGTTGACACTTGTCAACAAAGAGTACGAAAAAAATATCTCCAATAATAGGTATACTTTTTAGGGTACGGAACCAAGTTCCTATAAAATGTCTCAAATCTATAATATACTTCTCTTTGATCTATTCTAAACTTCAATATTTGATTTCTGTATGGGGTTCAACAAAACTATCAATTATAAAGCCTCTCAAAACTCTTCAAAATAAAATTATCAAATGTATATACAGACTAAATTATTCGGAACCAACTATGAATCTTTACAGAAGAAGAGAATTATTAGATATAGATTCACTATATAAATTCAAATTAATGTCGTTCATTCATTCAGTTAAACATTGTCAAAAGCATTCAAATTTGGTTATCCAAGTCAATAGTAATCACCACAACCATACAACCAGACAAGCAGATCATTTTTCTGTCAAGAAAATTAAATCAGATATTGGTAAAAAATCCATCTATCACAATGGAATGATACAATACAATTCACTACCAAATAACTTGAAGCTGATTAATAGGATTGAAAAATTTAAAAGAGAATTCAAGGAACATCTACTCCTGTAATATTGACATCTTATCTCATTTTTATAGTTTTCTTGTACAACTACTATAGTTTTCAATTGTGTACCTAAGAGCTGAGTCAATTGAGGATCATTTTAATTTGAACTTGAAAAAAAAAAGATTCTTTTTGAGTGTGAGTCTTATTTTACTGTCTTCTTCATTTTATTTTCTCAAATATATTTATGTATTTTCTATGTTCCCTGCTATAAACAAATGTTGTTTCTTGGGAATAATAAAGTTGATTGATTGATTGATTTTGAAAGTAGAAGACATTTTTATCTTAAGGTTCACAAGTTTATGATTCTTTCAAGTAAGGGTTCATAAGTTCATACCCAATAAAATGAATTCTCTCAATCTTAGAGAAGCTTCTCTAATCACGATAATCACTTCGTTGATTCATTTTTTAGATTCTAAACCCTAGTATTCTGATTTTAGAAATATTTGGAGCCCCAATATGTTGATATAACCTCTATTACCTATAATATATCAATCCTCTAATGCAAGCTAGGTCATGAATTTTCCCGTTTTATTTGTGAACGTCATTCTGTTTCCACCACCGCTACCAGAATGGCACGAATAAAACGCGACTACTCACTTGAAGGCCGTGTCGTTCAACTGCAAATTCCCTCCCAAGATCTCGGGTTTGTCGTTGGTCAGATTCGGATGGAAATACCCGATGGTGTTCAGCGTGTCGTCGTACCACTGGACGATGGAGATGATGGAGAATCTGGATGGACCGCCGCGAAACTTGATGCGGCCGGAAAGGCCTTGAAAGTCCGTGGCTTCGACCAAACGAACCAACTTACTGAAAAGAATATGAATACCTAAGTATATCGTTTTCAATTGTATTATTATATATCGAAGACTGGAACCTTTGGCTCGATAATACACTACCACTAACCAAATCGATTAGGTAATCTATACCACAACGAATCTCTGAGACTTGTTTTGTAGTGGGGTCGTGGATTGCGAATCAATTTGTGACTACTGATACATTTATTTCCAAAATCATAGCGAACATAAACTATAAACTTAAATTACAAAGTTAACCGAATACAATTACAAAGTCTTTGATCCGCCACAACTTAACGGTTTTTTGTCTCCCTCCGCTACAAGTCGGGAGACAACACAACCTGGAGCTAAAATCTACTACTTTTTTCCTTTGTATAATAAATAACTATCTTTACTATCTTGGTGTATAAATAATCATTATTCATGTAAGTTCTTTTCCCCCTCCTGATTTATATCACCTCCACTGTAAGTTATGGATCACCTACGTTAATTATTCATATATGTATGTTATAGAGCTTTGTCAACATGGCATGTATTGATAAAGAAACGAAAATGCAATTGAATTGTTTCATATACTTACTTGGTTGTGACTTCCGTATGCAGATTGGACATGGCCTCAGGATCCGTCTTCGAGAGATTGTTCAATGCGAAAGCATACGTCCAAACGGCATCGTAAGCGAAGCCTGCATAGTTCGATGAGTTCACACTATTCTGTTCCCTCCATTTTCCAACTGTGATGCCTTCCTGCATCATGGAATCGTTGTCGGCATAGTATGTGTGCGTCATGGCAAAGTAACCAGTGATGGCCTGTAACCGTAACAGAAAAAATAGAACACGTCCCAGCCAACACAAAGAGGTCTTAATGATATCTCGGCAACCTAGCTCCTTCCAGGAGGACGCCTTTCATTACTTCTTTGAGCGGTTGCCGCCGCAGGGATATTCTCAACGAGGTCTAAGCGATATCCCACGAAGAAATTCAAATACAATACCTTCAGGCGAGTTATTTGGGAAATTCGCATTCAGAACCTTGTTCCAAGAACTTTGAGAGAATCGCATCAATCGCCACTGGTGCGATCTCCAAGTATTCGCGGAACCGAATTAGTCGAGATATTCGCATACATAGCTTTGTGGCGAGTATATTCCCGCACATGGGCTTGCGGTGAGAAATTCGGGAAATTTGCGTCAATTTACTCGCAACTACGAGTGAAACAAGGAATTCACGAGAGCTCCTGTCGAGGTCTCTGAGAGTTCGCATTTGGAACTGTTGAAGACACTCTCCTGAAACGTATGAAGAAGTCCATATTGCTCAAAGTGGAGTGGTAGTACACTACACTGTTTTACCACTAACCAAACCGGTATGGATATATGGAGTGGTAGTGTTTGAAGAAAGAATATCCTAATCCCTCAGTTATGACAGCAATAACTTGAACACTTCTGAGCGGATTGTTTTGATGGGTGTGACCGCTAATATCATAAGATCGAAGCTTATTGATTCACATGATCCAACAGGACCTGTCACGATGGCTCGAAAATATCTCAATGACGATCGAATTGAAGAGTTGTATGCTAGAGATGATGAAAATGATTTTCACGAGTCATCAGGTTCTGAAAGTGATGCATATGAAAATATCAGCTCAGAGGTTGAATTTTCTGAAGATTCTGGTGAAGATTCTAAGGACGATGATATAAATGCAGGTATTATAAATGGTAATAATAATTAATTTATAAAAATAATAACTGCTTTTCATGTAATTTTCAGTACCCGCTGCTGTTGGAGCTAAGAAAAAAAAACAAAGGCCACGGATTCACCTGGAAGCAAGTTGCCTTTGAACCAGAAATACTTTCCTTCAATAAAACTAATGTTGGTTGTTTAGCTGGAGAGTTGCAACCCTTCGGTGTTGAAATGTTTCAAAAAATGTTTTTCGGGAGAAATCATAACGGCAATTGTAAATCAGTCAAAGTTTTACGGCCAAAGAGAAAATGCAACACGAGCACATAAAAAGAAGTGGTCTCCTATAGAAGTAAGTGAGATGTACCTGTTTATTTCCTTGTCATTACTGATGACTCAAGTGAAGAAACTGAAGATTATGGATTACTGGACCATAGATAAAATACTAGCTACATAATTTTTTGAGCAAGTTATGTCTCGTGACCGATACATGTCAATTTTGTCAGTTCTCCACTTCCCCGATAACAATAACATCGACACAAATGACAAATTATTCGAAATCAGAATGTTATTGTATATATTAAAATAAATTCATTACATAACTTTATATCATTTTACAGTGACAGTTTTTCAGGTTTTTTCACTTTTTCTCTTAATATTCTAAATCAATTGATTTCTTGATCTTGGAGCATATTATTTCCTTGTTTGCACTGTTATTAAGTAAACTATTTGTAGGCCTACTTTTTGCATTTCCATGTAAATACTAAGTAATTCTTGCATCTATATCCTAAGTCAACACTGATTTTTCTGGAACTATGATATTTTCTATTGGCTGATGATGGGCTTATATGAGCCCGAAACATGTTCCTTTAAGATTGATCTTTGATCATTCTAATAAATGTTGTGGATATGACTTTGGATTTTCATCTATGATCTACACTAATCCACTTTGAGTTACCATGGACTTCTTCCAAAGATTAAACTCCCCTCTTTCATCTCCTTGGTGGTACAGTTGATGACCTCCTTGAGCTTGGCGTTGTAGTGGTCGGTGTCGTACCACCTGTTGTCCAGCCATTCCGGCAGGAACCACACGTTGTACGCCTCGCATATCACAGGGCACTCACCCGCATATGTACAAGTGTCTGTTATATCCCCATCTTTCGCGATTTCATTCATCTATGCGTGTTTGGCGTTTATAATTGTTGGCGTATACTTTTCAGTGATTCATGAATGAATTGAGCAGGTGTCTATTTATTGACATTTAGTCTGAGGGCAAGTTAGTAGCGATGTCAGTGGATCCAACTCACCTCGCTCATCTCCTTGATGATGAAGTCGACGACCTCACAACCTATACTGGCATAATCAAATGTCCTGACTATAGACCGCTAAGAATTATATCTCTCTCACTTTTACTGATGTTTCGGAACACCAAGAGACGCGAGTCTATGTCATGAACGACATTTTGGGAGTGCCTGCGCATTGAAGAGAAGCGTTTTCAAGCGAGTAAACGGATCCAGACAGTAATTATTATCGATAAACTACACTCTCATAGATGGCCAACGCACATGTTAACCTCTTGTTCCATTTTCGCCATCAGCGCCTCTGGTGTTTGGTGGCGCAACTATTTCGAATAGCGGGAATTTTGAATAACTCATGATATTTTCAAATATTTGACATAAAGAGAAGCTTTTGTAAATAGGGGAAGAGATGAAATATCAGAAGCACTTCATGCTTTCCTCTTTTCTCACAATTTACAGACCCTGTGAAATAAAAATGGTTGGTAAATGAGAGCAAGTTATCAAAATGCATACTTTTTTAATTAGGTCATACATAAACACCTGTAATGATCACAATGAAATATAACTCAACAATTATCACAGAATCTTGAAACACTTTATCCCCTTCATAAACCTGGGATTTTGTTTCTCCAAATCTCACATCCTGGCACTGCACACTAGTCTAATCTCATTATAAACTTCACTATTGCTCGAATCAAAAGTAAATTATAGCTGATTGATTTCTTCAATCATAATCGAAAAATGAAGTAATGGCCGTAAGTCGAGAATATGGCACTTTGAAATGGAAAAACCACACTTGTAGACGGGAACAAAATCACAACATTCACAACGAAAATATGTCAATCGTTATCCGTCAAACAATATATGAACGCCATTTTGAAATCAATGCCTGCACCTGCACACTATCACAGATCACGGAGCATTATGTCAAATGGCCACCTATAGTTTGATGGCTAAACTAGAAAATGGAACAAGTTCGGCCCATTTGAAGTTGGAGATCTATGGAGTGTAGTTTGTTCATGGTAGTTATGTTAGCGGGTCCGATTAACTCACCTCTTTCATCTCCTTGGTGGTGCAGTTGATGACCTCCTTGAGCTTGGCGTTGTAGTAGTCGGTGTCGTACCACCTGTTGTCCAGCCATACCGGCAGGAACCACACGTACCCCTGCACGGCTGTCATATCCTGCTTGTACGCCTCGCACATCACGGTCCTGGCAACACTGTCCACCACATCGGCGATGATGATGCGCGCGCGTTTGCTCTTCAGATCGGCCAAATACTGGAAACGAAGAAACTGGGATTAGCACGGGACACTGAACAATTTATTTATTTTATTTCCACAAACAGGAATACAAACAGGACGAACCCAGAGACAGTATTCACATATAGGTATACTAATATGTCATGTTGTTAGGTATTCAATCCCATTATACAGTGCAAGATTTTATATATTTTATATGAAAAAGAAATGTTTTCAACATATCATCAATTGGATGCTGGAACAAAATGGTTCTTGAGTTTGTTCACAAAGATTGTAAGAGGGTCGGAAAAAATACCAATCTCTATATTATGTTCGATATGGAGTTATAACTTTTCAAGCATCGATGTAAAGGGGAGTTAAGATAGTAATTTGTGTTCGGTATGGATGAATGGAACAAGTTATAATAGCGAGTGGAATATTGTGGAACATTTTAATGGACCAAGTTATTTATAGATGAGGAATTAATGACTCCATTTATAATTTTGAGAGAGAATTTGATATCGGTGATAGCTCTTCTGTCAGCAAGACTAATCAAATTAAGTTTTCGAATTTCGTGAAAAGTGATTTTGTGGCGTGTTTTTGAAATATTTTTTGTTGATATAAGCGATCAATTTGTTCGCAATACTTTCTATTTGTTTCGTGTATATTATATAATAGGGATTCCAAATGATTGAGCCGAAGCCTAGCAGACTATTCACGTATGACATGTAAAGCAAGGTATAAGAATCTTTGAAAGGATAAGTTGTTCTTAAATTGAAACCTAGCATTCTGTTCGCTTTCTTAGAAATGTAAGAAATATTGTTTATGTATAGTTATGAGTAATCAAATTAGAGTTTCTACTAAAAGTCATCTGAGGGCATTTGTTGAGATTCAGGAAGAAGGAGTTATTTCTGCATTACTCTGAGAAGCGATCAAGGTCCTCTTGAATGAGCATACAATCATTCAAGTGTGAAACTGTATGAAATATTTCAAGATCATCAGCATACATAAGGAAATACGAGAATTTGAAACATTCAGAGATGTCATTTATATAAATATTGAAAAGTAGGGGACCTAGATGTGAGCCTTGAGGAACACCCGACGTTATATTGACTGATCTTAAAGGATAACCACCAATATAAACTGTCGGATTACGATTACTTACGTAAGATTGAAAACAATTCAGCAGGGAGCCGGTCACACCAACATCAGCCAGCTTTTGTACCAGCAATGTGTGATCGATCTTATCAAACGCTTTGCTGAAGTAGGTGTACACGGCATCTACTTAAATTCGGCTGTTCAAGCTTTTCAATATATATTCGGTATATTCGAATAAATTTGTTTCAACAGAGTGCTTTCTGATAAATCCATGTTGTTGTATATTCAGAATGTGCATGACATCATGATACAAATGAAATATAATAAAACAATCTTGTAGGAAAGATCATCCATTTCTTAGGCCATAAGGAAATTGCGCTGGTAGCTTTCCTGGGCATAGAAGGAGCGTTGAATAATGCCCTACCACAATCACTCTATATGGCAATACGAGATAGAGGAAACAGCAGTCAAATATGTAACTAGATCAAAACCATGATTGGAAATCAGTACGTCATATCATCACAGCATGGAGAGTCAATCTCTACAAATTCTACAGACACCCATAAAGTACTAACTTGGCAAAAGCGCATACTGAGAAATATGCTTCAACTCAAGCCTAGCATTTCCTGTAGAAAGCATTTTCGCGACACGGGTATTCTAACCGAATATAACTTATATATTCTCCAGTGTCTCATCTACTAAAAGAAAAATATTCATAATTTCCAAACATGTGGTCCTGAAATTACAGCCATCGAACTGTACAATCACTTACCTCGTACAATTACTCAGATTAGCTGCTTCAAACAGTTCAAGTCAATAATCACAATTTTATTGAAAGAAAACCCTTTTTACTCCCTGCAAGAGTTCTTTGAAAACCAATTTTAACATGTTTAATGAATCTAGATAATGTAGTATCAAGTTTTATATATTTTCTGACCTTGACAATGCCTATACTGATGTATTTCAGTCGATGGAAATAAAGATTGTATTTGTATATCAGGTTTAGAGCGGCATATGGATGTTCACAGGTCGAGGTACTTTTCCCCCGTATATCATTCCTAGTTGACTCTCTGCTGAACGATCTTTCCATGCAGGGGGTGGATTTTCAATGCTATGTAGATGATCTAGTCTGGCACAGGTAGGTTTTGGAGATCTAGATATCGGATGACATAATTTTTATCTCGTTATCAAATCATTTCTATTGGATAGGCAACTATTTGTCGAATACGAAGGTGTCAAATATTTCATATTTGTTTCCACGGCTGGAGTTCCCCAAGGGTCTAATCTGGGACCTTTACTCTTCCTTCTATTCATAAACGATATTTGCGATTCCATTTCTTCTCAATAATTATTGCATGCAGATGATGTGAAGATATATAGAGAGCTCAAGAATGGATCGGACTGTTTGTCATTGCAAAATGACTTGGATTCTCTAAATGACTGGTGTATTCGAAACAAGCTTCATCTAAATATTAACAAATTCAAGGTAATGACTTCTTCTCGGAAGGTCGAATCAATTAAATATAATTACACTTTAGATAATTCCATTTTATCCCGTGTGTTGAATACTAAAGATCTTTGTGTCATGTTTGATAATAAACTCACTTTTTCTAATCATGTTGAAAATATTGTTACCAAAGCCATGAAGATGGTAGGTTTTTTGATTCGTAATTGTAAGGAATTCGAGTCTGTTGATGCTATTAGAAGAGTATATTTCTCATTAGTCAGAAATAAACTTGTCATATCAATCTCATAGAATCTGTACAGAGAAAATTCGTTGTTCCTTCATTTTAAAAAACATAAACATTAATCTCGGAAAGGTTTTGATTATAATGCACTACTGGACGAATTCAATCTGTCTTCCCTACGTAAATGTCGTGATAGGAGATACTTAATCTTCATTTATAAAATTGTGAATAACAGAAACGATTTTTTGTCCAAATTTCGAGATGAAATAACTCGTTAATTCGAAGACTTGAGAAAAATCTGATACTTTGAAAATTTTTGTTAGACTAAAAAGCATATCGCTGTGTTCAATATTTGCACTTTGCACTGCAGCCGGCTCTTGGTCTAAGATGTTCTATATTGGGTGATTCCGAGAATATTTCTCGCAAATTATGAGTCAAACATTCAGTGAAAGAACAAAATGTGCGAAAATTTCGCTGATTTTCGCGTATATCCCAAAACGCACAAGGACATTTTGTTGGATAACACCAGATCCAAAAAACATATAGAGAACAATAATAAACCGACTACTGATGGGTAATATGAAAGGAGAGGTATTTTGATGCCGGTTGCCTGGGTTATCAGAAACAGTATAGTCTACATTCGAAAAAGAAATTAATTATTATGACCCTCTAAAATGTTGATCTTCAAAGGGTCATTTCATCTGGATGTTGGATGTTCAAGAATTTCATGCGAAATTGACGGCAAGTCGATAAAGAATTTCCATTCTAATTGAATTTATAATTGGACGGATTTTATTGTTCCGGGAAGTTTTCGACAGGGCGGATAATAAGTCGGGGGAGATTCTGAATTTTAATGGAATTCTTTGTAGTAGGTGCTATAAAAGGGGCACGAAATATTCAGCAAATATCGCCACAATATCATAATGTTGCAGTTAAAATTGCAATGTTTCAATAATGTGGCAGAATATATGTCATGAGAAGATCAAAAATGATATCAGGAATGATATAAAATCATTCTACGTCGATATAGAGTATTCAAAGTTCAAATCACAATTCTTTGGTATATCAAATCACTCTGTGGATATATCAAAGTAATGGGGAAGTTTCCAATATTGAAGTTTTCATCTCACTGTGAAGTTTGTAAAAAATCAACATATACGTATTTTTTCTTTTTCGTAAGATCAAATTTCACTTCAGAAAAAAATAAATAAAAGAGGAACTTGGCTCCTCCACCATTCCTATGACTTACTTCCTGAAATTCCCTGTGCCAGTACGACGTTGGCGACATCATCAATATGTCTAGATTTCCGGAAATTTTTCTTTGAATGCATAATAACTATATCATAACAGCAATGGGATATAATAGGTACTTCAATCCTACTGTGTCAAGTATTATGAATAATTCCCATAAATCTCTCATTGGCTGAATGAAGTTGATTACTATAAAGATGAATTAAAATATTTTGCGATACTATCTATAATTTTTCGCTGTTATATTACAATATGTTATTCATAACTTGTCAGTCATTTTTTTTTGCTAATGAATTCGTTCCTTAATGAAACGGATTTATTTTCTAGGAAAGTTGCAGATTTTATCTTGCAACAGCGCCTAAACTTCGTGTCAGTCCACCCCACTCGAAATACTGACAGGCACAACAAGAGGAAGGAGCCATGGGTGTCGGCTTCATTCTGTTCTGACCGATGGCAGTTAATTAGGAAGGATAGTATCATTTTGAATGTAGCAGATAGTGATTCATTGATTCAATGATATTTTCGTTCAGGATCGAGCACTATTCGAGATATTTCAATGCATAAATAACACAACCATAACCAGTCAGAATGAAGCCAACACCTTCTGTATTCCTGCTCAGAGTGCATTTGTGGTTATGTATGTTTTTGTTTACCAGTTTTACTTCATCTTCTATTTTTTTCATTCGTTTTTCATTCGTTAGCTATTTGCTAGCTATAATCTTCACCATCATATATTTTCAGACTAGATTCAGAATGTACGTCACAGTTTGCCGTCCAGAAAATTAGAAATTGCTTCAATTTGAAAATGAAAACGATTTGGACTTTATCGGTCGCCATTCTGTACAGCGTAGACACAAAGCTGGAGAGTTCCGAACTTATTTCATCAAAATTCATCTGAAGGAAACTTCCCCATTGAAGTGATGACTTCTTCCCTGTATCAATGTCATGAATAAACTCTCTTGTTTTATGCACAGATCAGCTGAAATTGAGGACATTCCCAAA